GTGTGACGTCATTTTAGGGGGGGGGGTCTGGCTTTTCGTGACGATGTGTGGCGGAGGGGAGGGGGGGGGAGGTAAAAAGGGTGACGTCATTTATGGATGACCCATATTTTTGTAAAGGATCGTGCACAGTTTATATAGTTCGCACGGGTGTATGAAGGGGGTGGTAAAGGGGGAATTTTATGATGTTTCTATAATGTTTTATTCTTTTATGTGACGTTATAGAGTGGTAATAATAAAATAATACCCACATTTTTCTCCTGTCCTTTAGAATGGTTGATTTAATACCTTATGGCCTATTATATCATGAAGATTAAATAAATTTTTATGACGTAGATTTGTAACAGTGCTGTTGTTTATAAAATGGTGGCTCCTAGAAATGTTACATAACATGATAGATGGTCGATGGATGATATGTTACATAACGTTATTTTAGACTGTGGAATAAGTAAATGGGGTCGTTTTTTCTTTACCTCCCTAATATGCCTACAGTAAACTTTTAACGTGTTCGAGTTTTAGATTACGTAGAAAGAATCTACGGGGTCTAGCGGTAGAGCGCAAGACTGCTAACCCGAGAGTCTCAAGTTCGAATCCGGGTTCAAATCAGTGGAACGTCCCAGAGTCCACACAGCTCTGATGGGTACCTAACTTACGTTTGGCAAACAAAGCCATCTGACCACACTATCCTGTCATATGCCTAGGTCAATGAAACAGATAAACTCTACTTCATCTGCCCCTTGTGTCTTGGGCACGAAATGGATTAAGAAGAAGAAGAAAGAATCTGCTGTAAGAAAATTCCATCTCTCCTACCCCCTCGCCCTCCTTCTTTTAACCAGATCGAAAGTCTGGATAAATATCTCCACTATCTGAACATCCGGGAATTCAACCTAAAACAAGAACACAAATAAAGATGTCAACATTGACCTTTCTGATCCGGAAGTGAACCGGTTGTAGCGTCACCCCAGCCTATTCACCTTGGTCTCAAATTTAGCTTCCAACATGAAACCAGGATAAACATTAATAACTGCAGAGTTTCTTCCAGGCATATCTTCTGGAGGGGGGGAGGGTGTTGAGTGTCACCCAGTTCGGTAACTAAGCGTGTTGTGTTACTGCGACATCATTACTACATACAACGCCGTCTTTTGTTCCACGACTTGTGCCTGGTTCCGTTTCACTCGTCACGTACGTCTTGCATTGGGGCTGTTTTGTTGCGATGCTTTGAAAAGCGGGTATATATAAGATTATTCCACACACTCGTGCAAACACACACACACACAAACACGCACAAAACAATGAATATAATGCAATTCTCACTGTGCATCATTTGTCCACGCCGCTATTTATTTACACATCTTATTGTAACCTAGTCGATAAAACTGAACCTTCTGAAATCACAAAATTCACTACCCCCCCTACACCCCTCGCTAAAATATTTTAACATTACTCATACATTGGCTCTATACTCAGCTTTAGTTTTAGGACACATGTGTTAACCCTACAGTGGCCTAACCCATGCTGCTTTGTTACGATGTACGAAAAGCTGGTGTTTATAAGATTATTCCACACACTCATGCAAACACACCCACGCACAAAGCAATGGGTGTAATGCAATACTCACAGTGCATCATTTGTCCACACCGCTCTTTATTTGCACATCTTAGGGGTCATCTTAGGGGTCAACCCATGCGGTCACTTTAAAGTAGCCTGACCCTCGTGTTAAACCTTGTGGCTTAACCCTTGAGTTAACTTTAAAGTGGTCTGACCATTGAATTAACCCTAAAGTCGCCTAATCCTTGAATTAACCTTAAACTAACCTGACCCTTGAATTAACCCTAAAGTGTCCTGACCCTTAAACTAACCCTAAAGTGGCCTAAATCGACTCAAATAGTGAATTTCGGGCCGACCCCACCACTTCCAACTTTCTTGCTTGTCAATAAATGTAAATCAAACTTTGACTCAGCCCTATTGAAAACCTGTCAAGTTTTGATTGCCTCAACTTGTATCCTGAAAAACCAGATTTTGTCGTGTTTTTAGAAAATTGTCTTTTCTTAATAAAAAGGTGCTCGAACTATGTTTTTTTCTTAAAAAATCGAATAATTTCTAAAATAAAATTCGTATTTACACATCTATTGAGTTTATTCTAGTGGTGTCACTTTTTGACTGTAGTCACGTTTAAATAGTAATAAAACCTTGACCCTGCTTTTAATTATTCACATGACAGGGTGAAGTCACGGCCCACTGGTCTCGTTATATGGTTGGGATACATCTGCTAAAACACCACTTCTGGTAAATTGTTTGGCTTGCCTGTCCTACATGACTATATTGACAAACAAGTCTGTGTTTTTAGCCCGCCTGACTACATTAGTTCGGTGTCTAATAGCCCAGCACCTGACATTTGCCCAGCTCCTGTCGTTAGCCCAACTAATGTTATTAGCCCACCTCATGTCGTTAGCCCAACTAATATCGTTAGCCCAACTAATGTTATTAGCCCACCTAATGTCGTTAGCCCAAATAATATCGTTAGCCCAACTAATGTTATTAGCCCACCTCATGTCGTTAGCCCAACTATAATCGTTAGCCCAACTAATGTTATTAGCCTACCTCCTGTTGTTAGCCCAACTAATATTATTAGCCCAACTAATGTTATTAGCCCACCGCCTGTCGTTAGCCCAACTAATATTATTAGCCCACCTCATGCCGTTAGCCCAACTAATATTATTAGCCCACTTCATGTCGTTAGCCCAACTAATATTATTAGCCCACCGCCTGTCGTTAGCCCAACTAATATTATTAGCCCACCTCATGCCGTTAGCCCAACTGATATTATTAGCCCACCGCCTGTCGTTAGCCCACCTACCAACTCACGAATCGCAATAGGTAAGCACGTCGTTTATATTAGGCTTAAGTTCGCGTATGACTAAGGCTATCCTCAAAACAGTCGCTTTAACCTTCAAACTAACAAACACGTTAAAATTCTATACTCGACCCCTAACCTAATCGCAAGCAAGATCTGTAGGCCTATACCTCTTATAAAGACATTCCTCAAGTGTATCGTTTAGAAAGAAGACTGCCGTTTTCTACAAATGGAAATTCCACTTTACCCGACCGGAAACTGGTCGACCTAATTATTCAGTCACCGCGAAGGTCATGTCGATTGGTTACACATCCCTCATAACATTTAACAACATCCCACAATTCTGATCTCTCGGCGTCTGCAGTCGTACACTGAGCATCAGTCATTAAATGTTGTGGCTTGTTCCAGCTTTTACCCCAGCCTTTCAACGTCTGCCTGTTCAGTGAGGTGTATCACGTGATTGCTAAAATTAGGGCCCTCAATTTATGAAAAGTTTGGTCATGCGCTGTATATCAGCTCGTGACTTTGAATCACATCAACAGTGAATAATTTCTCCATAAATCCATTCAACTAGAGTAGGCTTAATTGAAGTGATGTGTGTGTTGGTGTGTGTGTGTGTGGGGGGGGGGGGGGGGATGGGCACTGATTTCTAGAACTGTGAGGCAAGTTATGTAAGACCTAGTTTGATCTACAATCGCTATATTCTGAGTAGATTTTCAAGAGTGAATTGCAGATGATGTTGTATATGCTAATGGTTTTTAGCACAACGTTTAAGCGTGTTAGGAACTTAACCTTTCAATTAAAAAAAATTTTTTCTCAAAACTCGAGACATTTTTGTAGGTTATGAAAGTTGGTGCATCAGATTTTAAACGGACTTTGTCTAGAGCTTTATGTTCTACCGGAAATCTCAGCTCGATGACCGGAAATCATAACCGGAAAACATAGTTCTTTTCATTCAGGCACACCCTGAATTTGTGTTTTCAACCCAACAGTAATATGACAGCGGAGGCTGTCTACACAAGGAACAAGATAGACTTCAGCAGTTCAACGTTTTCTTTGTGTAACAAAACACTATAACAGTGGGGTTTTTGTTTCAAATTTGCAAAAATTGTAAGCTAACAGTAAACTTAGCATTAATTTTAAAATTTTAATGTTATTTCACAAATCAAATTTCGAAAATAAATATTTCTAGAGGGCTTTATGTTCCAGAATCTTGCCAGCTGACTCTAATAGAAGGATCGATGATTATATGATCAATATATATGATCATTTTTTTTACCTTTGAAACATCTACAAAAGGTTTTCTCTTTCAAGATAACCGCCGTTGTTATTTACTTTCGGAAGAGACAGTGATGCATACAAATATTTTTCTAATACGACTAATTAATTAAGACGTTTTTTTTTACTTAGAGCCTAATCCCTTAATTAAACGACATAACAAAAATCAACCAGTCGAGCCATATACATTAGAAGATGAAGTAATTTAACTTCATCATTATGTGATTGATGTAAATAAAATACTACACATTTATGTAATTTGAGTTTGTTCTTTTATAAGACTTGTCGGCTTTACGTCTAGTCGGCCGCTTTGATGACCGCCTTTTGTCCATTCAGTGTTTATGGATGTCAGCCTTTATTTTGTCGGCTATTTTTCCGGATCTCTTTAAAATTAGGCTTACTTGTCATGCGCAGTCTTGCGGGATTTTACCATTCAGGAAAGAGAACATTTGGACAGCAGACATGTAGGCCTACCCTACCACTCGACCAGCTAATTCCTGCTAGATTTTGATGACCACATCGAGCCGACACATATACAAAGCAGACGAATTAGATGTCTAAAACAACAGCCGTTATTACAGTCTGGCCTACTTAGCAATGGCGTGGCGAGGTCGGGTGTCACCCCTCAGAGGCGTAGCGACCCTTCCCGGGGACAAACTTTCAATTTTCGATTTGCACCCCCTCCCACTCGAACTTTCGATTTGCACCTCTTAAAAGACTATTTAACACTCGAATTATTCACTTAATTAAGTGGAATTATCATTTTTCTCTATATATTTTGCTTTTTTTTTGCCTTGGTGTCACCCCCCCCCAATGGTGTCATCCGGTGCGGTCCGCACCCCCCGCCCCCACCCCCCCCCTAGCTACGCCACTGCTACTTAGAAAGTATTCGAAAGAAGGAGTTTCAACAACTGCAGGTCTTGCATTCATATAACGTAGTGCATTGTGGCATTTTAACCAATAAACTATTTTTTAAAACGTCAAATACTTTTTAAAATTATGACAATTGTATCTTATATTAACGTGAGTGTAATGAAGAGGTGAAGAAGGCTAGAAACAGTTCAATAAAAATAAAATTATAATCTAACCCCTTTAACACATTTTCATAATATGCTTAAATGCAGTCTTAAAGTTAACAAATATAAATACATATGCAATTTTAACAAATATAGATAAACATGCACATTTAACAATATAGAAAAATTGAACATGTTACATTAAAAAAATACTGTAAATATGAAAGAAATTACGGTTAGCATCATCAAAGTGGGGAGAGAATGCTTGGGTTAGTTATTTGTACTTGTATCTGTTGTTTTGATCAGGGTTAGTGTCCATTTATGCAGCAGAAATAATACACTGTGATACAGTAGCACTCTCATAAAGGTGCTTTATTTCTCTAGAATGTGAACGTTGAACAGTTTGTATACATTTCTTAGTCGTCCATTACAAAAGATCAACATTGTTGATTGACCTGGACACTGTACATGGCCGTACTACACAAGCTCGAAGACATGAAGGATATGACGTGTTTTTATTTCAAACATCAAATTCATTGTTAGAGATGGATGAGTCCATCCAATGTACTGACCCTATCACAATCTTCAAACATGAAATTCATTGTTAAAGACGGGCTCATCCATTCAATGTGCTGACCCTATCAAAATCTTCAAACATCAAATTCATTGTTAGAGACGCACTCGTCCATTGAAGTTGCTGACCCTATTACAATCTCTTCTTTTCTCAGATCGTAGTCAGAATTATTGTCGCTGTCTGACTCGTCACCAGTATCATCTATTACCTCCACACTGTCTGACTCGTCACCTGCATCATCTGGTACCTCCTCACAGTCTGACTCATCATCTGTATCAACTAGTACCTTCACACAGTCTGACTCGTCACCTGTATCATTTAGTACCTCCACACAGTCTGATTCGTCACCTGTATCATTTAGTACCTCCACACAGTCTGATTCGTCACCTGTATCAACTAGTACCTCCAAACATTCTGACCCTGAATGGCTAGCCTCAGCATGGACCTCTCCAAAGCTTGATTGGCTGACATGAGCTTCATTGTCATGAAAGCTTGATGCTGATTGGTTGAGATTTACATGTTGATCGTGAGAACTTGCCACAGATTGGCTATCACCATTGGGGTAACCATGTACATCTTGGGGGCAATTGCCTGATCCTGTACTACTGTCATTATCGACAGGGCTGATGACAATTAACTCAATGTCATCACTTGACATGCCCGGGATGTCACTAACTTCGTCAGTTCCCGAACTTGCCTCATCAAGTGTATTTTGTGTCTGATATGGAAAAAGAAAACATTCAATACTGTTTATTTTTTTAAAATTGTGTACATAATTAAAATATATAAACAACAGATATGTGTTTCGTCTAGAGTTAATCATAACTAGATGTATCTGCAGAACATGGTATCTTTAAAACTGAACAATATCTGTAATGTGTTTGAAATACGTACTTGTATGTCAATAGTCTGGAATTTCTGTTTTCCTTCTTTGCACTTTTTGGATAAGCTTCAATACAAAGGAAAAAAACAGTGAAAAAATAAACAAAATAACACAAAAACAAAAAAATAAAATAAATAATTGTAACTTTATGATGAATGTAAAAAGATGTCAATGTTAAAAATTTGGAATAAAACAGGCACAAGTACCCAGAACATACCAAAGAAAGGTAGGAACCAATAGAATTAGACCCACAGTTCCAACCACAACAAAAACTATTGTGAGAATTTTCCCCTGGGCTGAGCTGGAAACTTTTCAAGGAAAAAAAAATTAAATGAAATTTTTTTTTTAAAATTAATTTTTTTGTTAAAATATTGCAGTTATATTTATAAAAGCTTTTTGTGAATTAAATGTTAAAATATTTATGGCATCTCCATTTAGATATACTAAATTTACTTCTTAAATAATATTCTTCATTTATCGTTTCTAAAATGAGCACAATTATTATTATACCATTGTATCATCACAAAATGGAGTATTTCATAAACAGTGCTTAGAATGTGTAGCTCCAGTTTCCATAAAATTACAATATTTCTCTAAAAAGTATTATATTATATTTTACTGTGTTTAAAATAAAGATTGCAACACTTGATATAATTTTAAAGAAAAAAAAAATTATTTGGCTTTTCCTACCCAAAGTGGCAACAGTCAAAGACCGAACAATTTGAACTGAGTATCCATCATGCCTGTTCATGGCTATACAAGCAAATGTGATACCGTCTGGCAATTCAAACTCAGTTGGGGAAAACAGTGAGCTGTTTTTTAATGCTATAAATTTTCCTGGGCGAAAGTTGAAAAATAGAAAAAAAGTGTATGAAAATGCATTTTTAATTTGAAGTACTTATAATATTTATACAAGAGTTTGTTTTTTGCTTTGTTTTCAGTAATATTGAAAATAATTGTATCAGTAAAGCTTGCATTAAACATTTATTCCTTTAACATTTGAATGAAATTATTTTTTTTTCTATAGTTATAAAAATAATAAAATCTTTACTTCTAAATTTGATTGTTTTATTAAACCCCTTCTAACTATTATATCAAAATACTTTATTCTTATAGTATCATCATTTGATGAATATTTCAATGAAATGTACTTATTGTTTGAATACATTATTAGTAGGACATAAGCCTAATACATTCAATATAATATATGTCTTACATGTAGGTCAATATGATATTATAAATCAGTTGTCACATGTCATGCACATAAATGTTCTGATTGATTTTCTTGATATTAAAAAAAAAATAAAAAATTAATCTTTAAAAATGAAGACTTACTATTGTTGTCAGGACAAGTTTCTTCAGTAGATGAATAAATGTTATAGGATGTAATGAGGTACTGTTTGACCTCATGGGGGTCACACTGCTGCTGGACTTGCAGGTAATTCTTTTGGTCACGTGAAACTTGTTGGGCAGTTAACGAGGCATCCTCTGATTAAACAAATTCAAATTATTTTTTTATTTCTTGCTTTAAATTTACAGAAATTGCTGAAAAATGTCAATAGACTTTAATAAATGGTGTCCATATTCAAAATCATGATCTAGGTCTATGTTAAATATACAACACTATCTAGTGGTAAAACATTGTTTTTTTTTTTTAAGTGTTATTGATATTCCATACAGCTAATAGGTAGAGGATGTATATATTTTCTAACATAATTGATTTACTGAAAAAGATGCAGGTAGCTGTTTTCTATAAATCAGTTCATAGTAATGATAGCACACAAATTGTTTTTTTATTCTTTGTTATCATTTTTGCAAAATTTATGGGAATCAGAGCTGGAAAACATTGCTTAGACATTCAAAGATAAAAAAAAATGTGATATAATCAAAGATTATAAAATTTCATGTCAGATGATCAAAGATTAAATGATATCCCACAAAGATTATTTACTCATACTGCAAGCTATAATCATAAGAAAAAGCTTTTGAAATGAACTGTTAAATGAAATTATTTTTCTTATTTTTTAACAAGAATAAATATTCAAAACTAACTAATGATATACAATTCTTATGAATTTTGTTATATAGCTTAGCAATAACTAATATTAATAGACCAATTCAATAAAGATTTTAAATTAGCTAGTCAATAATTATTGTTGCCTTACAGAAATAGCAAAATTTACACAGCTGAAAGAGATATAACATATGCATGACATACAAATTGTACTTACTCAGACTACTGTTGTATGTGCAGTTGACTCCTGACATTCCCATCCAGTTCCCATTTATCTTCAGAGAAATAAAAACTTGGATCTTCTGTTGAGAAGTTACAGATCTTATAGGTAGGATTCTTAAAGCAGGTGGCTCTGCCCTTCTCCTTCTCTGTTTGCCAGCAAATTCAAACATATTATTAAGGTTTGTATCAGGAAGATTTATGCTGGGTTTGAGAGTGGCTAACGTTGTGAAATTTTGAACAAAATTGTTTTCCTCATCGACATGAAAATAGAAGACTTCCTTAGAGTTATTTCTCTTTACACTACTCTCTCTTGGTTTGTTTAAGGGAATTGTAAGTTTCAGAGCATCTGTTGTCTTTTCATAGTTGATTTCACTTCTGAAGATTGTAATTGGATATTCCTAAAACAATTAAAAAATTAAGGATTTAAAGGATTATAGATTCTCATTGAATTTAATATTTTCAATAAATTTATAAATTATAGACAATATATGTTACAATAGTCAGTTTAAGTAAAAATGGCCAAGTAAACAAAAGTTGATCAAATTGGTGTTTTATTGTGTTTAGACTGATGAAAATAAAACAAAGCCAACAATCTGTTCTTTTGGACATGATTTTTCTTCAGTTTTTTCACTTACAAATATATTATCATGATGACAGTAATCTACATAAGCTACGATCTTTTCTGTGTAATAAATTCATTAATAGTGAGGTAAAGTTTTATAAAGGTTCTAAATTAAAAAAAAAAATGTTTATTTCTAATTATAGTGATAAAATAAAAAAAATGGAAATTTTAATTTTCAATTACAGTGATATTATATAAAAAAAGAAGCTGAACTTATTTTTATAGCTAATTTTCTTATTGGTTCAAAATAAGTGAAAGATGTTCATGTTTTTTGTTGAGTAAAAACTGTAGGTAACTGGTGAAAACAGCTGTCAAGATAGAATCAATTTCATATGGATCTAAACTTTGTTAACCAAAAGATAATTCTCATAAAGAAGTGTAACAATCTCAATGAGTGTCTAAAACAAGTTTAGAGAGTGTAGTGGCAAAGCTGTTTCACAACCTACCTGACACAGCTCTTGTAAGCTGTTTAAGTCTGTGTTTACATGGCACCAGTGTACAGCTAAATCATCAAACATAGACACACTTTTGACATTCACATAGATATTCATTGAGCTTTCATTTAAGAACTCAACAATAGCTTCTGGAATTTGAGAACCTATTGAAGTTTTCAACAGTAGATGTTTTAATAAATGGAAGAATGTAAGAATAAAAAAAAACCAGTAATTGTAAATTTAGTTCAAAACATGTTTAAAAAAATAAAGTTGCATAATATTAAATCATACTTTTGCTGTTTGTTTAATTATTTCACACAAAACAAAGCTTTTTATTTTAATGAAACCCAATCAGGTAGCTCCCTAATATTAGTTAGACCTACATATAAATTTTATGACTATAAGCCCAGGCCACACATTCCCATATTCTAGTTTTTAAACTAAAGATAAATCTAAACAGCTGTTTTCAAACAAACATTCATCTTTCCTAGATGATAGATTCAAATATTTTTTTAGAAATCTAATGCCAAACTTCTCTTGGCCCATAGACTAAGGATATTCTTCATTTTATATTGCATCTAATTAATAAAACACCAATGTATAACAACTGACCTTCATATGCTGGAATGATGAGCTGAGAACTATTCTCTGACTTTCCGATTTCATTGACAGCCCAAATCTCCACTTTTAAAGCATGACTGGGAAGTTGGTTGGTGACCACAAGGTAACTGGTGTCCACTCTGGTCAAATTCTTAAACCCATCGACCGAAGAAACTTCAACGTCATAAGAAAGATTGTTTGCTCCAATACACTCTAATGGGAGAGGCTGAAAGAATTTGAACATGAATTACTTTATAGAACATATTTTTGTATTCCATTTTACATGCTAGGTAAATTGTTTTTCTCTTTTCAGATATGTTTAGAAAGTTAATACAACTAATTGTGCAAATCATTTGATTGATAAATAATTAAATGGTTTTAAAAAATAAAAATTAAATAAGCTTTAAATTGTAAAAAAATATCAAAGTTTGAACATTTGGCGTAGGACCAATATAATTTTAAAGCAATATTTGTCTGTTAAAACTCTGAATCTGTGAACGTAAAACATACTTCAACCCTTAACAGACCAACCTGCCAAGTAAGAAATAGAGATGAAAACAGTGGGGCAACTCTTGAAAAAGCAAATTTCTCAATGACTGGTGACTGGGCCGGTACTGAAATTAAAATTATTGTATAAAAGAAATTTGAAAAAAATGATAGCTATGTTAAATAATATATAATATACACCAGCTTGTGCTTTAAAACAATAAAACAATGCTTCTACTTCTTAATTTTAAAACAAGAAGACTATTATAATAAAAGACAAGAAATGTCAAATTGCAAGATAAAAAATACATGAACTTTGCTGGAACCCACAATTAACAAGACAAGGAGAGAGAACACGGTGGAATAAACTGAAGCCTAGGCTGCCTAAATATAGTGAGCTCACTAAAGTGTGGTATGACAAGGTAGAACACAATAGAATAAACTGAAGCCTAGGCTGTCTGAATATAGTGACCTCACTAGAGAATAGTGTTAGTGTTAGCTAAACTGTTTGGCTAAAGATCTATGTAGGTAGCTACAACAAATGATGAATGAGACTTAATAATGGTTTATCATCATTAAGTTAATGACATTAAATTCTTATTCAACATTTATTCTATTGTATAGGCTAGTTACATTTAAAATTAAAAAAACTTAAAATAAAGTTAATACATATTTAGAAATATTTTTATTTATAATGTAAGATAATGGAAAGCTTAAACAACAGTAAATATATAAAATTTCATTTAATTATAATTTTTGAGAAATATGATTTAGACACCTATTGATATAGTTTAAAATGTGGTTAAGATACCTGATTTTTTTGTTGTGAACTGAAGAAATGTTTTCTCTCCCTCTCCTCCACCTGTTGCACATGACACCATACATGAATAGTTCATAAAGGCAGTCAATGTGTTGAGCAAAACAGCAACAGACAAATTTGCATCAATAGTCTCATTATAAGAAGTAATGTTCTGTAGTTCCAACTAGTAGATACAAAAAACTGATGTTTCGCTAATGGCAAATAATTTTAAAAAGTATTGTTTTATAATCTTTCTGCTAAAATTATTTGAATGTTAAATTAATCTCTTAATAAATGCCTTATCAGCAATACATGTATTTGAAATATGACTGCAATAGATTTCTATAATTAACTTTAATACTACAACTATTGAAATGAGTAAATATAGCCAATGTTGAGCTAATGCTTGAAATGGCTTATATCATCAGCTATAGCACTATTACCTGAAGAATCTCAGAGCTGTCATCTGTTTTCCATAAAGTAACGCCACAACTAAAAGTTTTATTTCTAGAGATCAAAAAGTGTGCAATGGTCTTCATGGCATCAGAGAGTTGGAATATGATGAAAGCTGTGTGACTTGTGACACTGTACACATGTAGGTTTTTCACTGGACCTGGAGCCACTGGTTAAAGGTGAAATAGTTGTAAAAAGTTAGAGAATTAAGAAATAGGCAGAATAAATAAAAAATTAATTAATTAAAAAAAATAAAAATAAAAATAGAAAGTTTCAAACTAATTTAAATTGATAAATAGCTAAATAGAGCTTGCACTAGTAAATATTAACATAAAGATTAAATCTTAGTATTTTGCACATAATTTGAACATTATCATTAAATTATAATATTTTAAAAAATAGACTAAACATTTCTAGAACAAAGTCAATATTAATGTTTTTCATTTAGACTATAGACTACAGTAATCTTTAAAATCTTATAGTCTTAAAACATGTTAAATAAAGGTACTGCTTTTTTTTTCTACTATTGATACAGTTAAAACATTTAAATTGTAAATCAGAATAATAGAACTAAACCAGCCAACACAGTAGAAGCATATTTATAGTATAAGGGGAATTAATCAATACTGTAGAGACAGAGTTATCACCCTCAGTAACTTAACATTAGAAGTTGCTAATAGATGTAGAGTGTAGAGTATTATGATGATATTTTTAAAAGTAATACTAACTAAATGATAAACTTACCATAATCAACAAGGTTAATACTAATATGAGTTTCTAAACTCTGAATAGGGAACTCTAACATGGGTCTGGCTATCAAGATTGTTATGGTGACATTGTTGTTGTTGACTGTGTCTGATTTGTTTATGTTGGCATACTGGCATGTTATTCTACTGCTTTCAACTGCGCTCCGGATTACACACAGCTGTGTTGTGCTGAAAGGGGAAATAACTTTTTATTTGACATAGATGCAGTAGCTAGTTAGTAGTTTGATTTCATTAAAACATGGCTTTTATTTATGGCTAGACACTATTTTTTTCAACATTCCTGAGAAGATAATATCCAACACTTTAATAACTTAAACAATGATTTAAAATGTTGATATTTGAGTATGAGTTATATACTCACATCCCAGATTCAGTCATTGTTATATTATATTCATCCAATATGTTCATGTCATTGGAACTTTTCAGCCAAGTTATAAGAATATCTTTATTTTCTGAGACAGAAATCTTTTCAATTTTGAGTTCTAGTGGTTTCTCTGGTATAAAATTAAAAAAGCAAGTACTAAAAATTCTGGAATAAATCACGGGTTAAACATGATGTATATTTTGGTATAATTTTCGTTATATTTTGCAACACAAATAAGACTATAAACTATAAACACACCATCAAATATGTCTTGGTTTTCACAAAGCTATGTATTTATTGTGTCTGTTTCAATGAATATGTTATTGAACTAATTAGTCTTTATTTTAAAAGACCACCTAACCTGACCCATGTGCTATAAACCTCATCATATGATGTAGCCATGTTTTTTCTATCACACACCCACAAAAAGCCACTCTTTTTTAACCCCCTCCCCCTCCCTCCACTCCCCATATCTTTAAAAGTTATGATCCTATAAAAAAAACTATCGTGTTATTCATTATTAACTCTCTTTACAAAATAATGATAAGTCACAGTATATGAACTATCCCCATTTTCCAGCAATGTAGTTGTCATGATGTCTGAGATTTCATCCTCCCTCCCATCACTTGCAATTAAAGGAAAACCTATTCAGTCACTTTGAATACAACTAAATTATTCTCCAAAGATTGTTTTTTTAGTATTGTCTTTCTTTAAAAGGTTACCTAAAATGGTTATCTGTTCTTTCATAAGTGTGACTCCATTTTTACTGCAAATATATTCGTTTGAGTTTTCAGGTGAAGCATCTTCTATTTGGTAGCTCACAGAACAGTCAGTTATTCTAGTCACAGTCCCTTCAGATGCACCAGAAACTAAACTCTTTGGCAGGAGAGTTAGGGTGTCATTACTGCTGGTTTCCTGGCAAAAAGATTCAGTCAACTGACAAATTAATTTGAATGGTTTCCCCACTGGAAACATAAAGCCAGGATTGTTGTCAGAAGATTTTGATATACCTGCAACAACAAAAAATGTTGTAATGCTTGAAATGGTAAAAAATTTGGTGTTTTTATTTAATATTTTAAAAATGTTCTACAGTACAGCTGTAAGCAGATTTTATTTAGTATTTAAATCTACCTACATATCACATCAAATAGGCTATTTCTATAATTAATAACATATTACTAGTATTTAGTAGTAAGTCTAAAAATACTAAGGGGCGGAGTGGTCTAGTGGTAGAGAGCTGTATTGCTAATCCGTAAGTCTCGAGTTCGAATCCGGGATCAAGTCAGTAGACCGTCCCTGAGTCCACCCAACTCTGATGGGTACCTAACTAGCATTAGGGAAAGTAAAGGCGGCTGGGCATAGTGCTGACCACACTATCTCTTCATATGCCGAGGTCACAGAAACAAGTTAACTCTACTTTACTTGCCCCATAGACCGTCAGGTTTGAAAGTGAAACCTTTTACTTTACTAATAATACTACTTGTAAATCATATTACGCACAACTATATAACTACACATAGAGAAAATGTTTATAAAAATATCTTACTAGCTAAAGTGAGTTGATCGCAGGAATAAACTGGGAGCTGCTGTAGGAAGCACATCAACAAAAGACAGTATTGAGATTTCTTGATTGTAACTAGGTCTGTATACACAGGCACTGCTCTCAGCATAGTTTTACAGTAAATTATACTTTTTTACTTTCTTGGTGGAGTTGTTCAACCAAAGTTATTAGATTTGTATCTCAGTAGCAGTCTCAGACTACATTTTGACCAGTCTAGTGAAAAGAAAACTGCAACATTTTAATGGTCCAAGGAAAAACGGCAACATTTTTATGGTCCAATGTAAAACTGCAACATTTTAATGGTCCAATGAAAAACTGCAACATTTTAATGGTCCAAGGAAAAACTGCAACATTTTAATGGTCCAAGGAAAAACTGCAACATTTTTATGGTCCAAGGTAAAACTGCAACATTTTAATGGTCCAATGAAAAACTGCAACATTTTAATGGTCCAAGGAAAAACTGCAACATTTTAATGGTCCAAGGAAAAACGGCAACATTTTTATGGTCCAAGGTAAAACTGCAACATTTTAATGGTCCAATGAAAAACTGCAACATTTTAATGGTCCAAGGAAAAACTGCAACATTTTAATGGTCCAAGGAAAAACTGCAACATTTTAATGGTCCAATGAAAAACTGCAACATTTTAATGGTCCAATGAAAACTATGTTATATTCAGTTATATTTTACATTGAAAACAGTGAATTAATGGATAGAGATTAAAGATACCACTAGGTCAAGGCTGTTGAGTGTGAGAAACGTCAACACAATTGTGAGAAACGCCGGCATACTGTGGTTTGAGAAGTGCCGGCATAGTAAGCAGTGTTTCTTCCAGACTTTTTTCTCCGGGGGGGGGGGGGGGGCACTTGAAATTTTTGGGGGGGTGGGGCGGTAGACTTTCTTCGGGGGCGGACACTGTTAAAAGTATATATTTTCTATATAAATTATATAAATTTCATTTCGTTCGGGGGGGGGGGGGGTAGATTTTTTTCGGGGTAGGTTGTGAGAGTTGCCGGCCCAGTGTGGTAGGTTGTAAGAAGTGCCGGCACAGTGTGGTAGGTTGTGAGAAGTGCCGGCACAGTGTGGTAGGTTGTAAGAAGTGCCGGCACAGTGTGGTAGGTTGTGAGAAGTGCCGGCACAGTGTGGTAGGTTGTGAGAAGTGCCGGCACAGTGTGGTAGGTTGTGAGAAGTGCCGGCCCAGTGTGGTAGGTTGTGAGAAGTGCCGGTACAGTGTAGTCGGTTGTGAGAAGTGCCGGCAAAGTGCGGTAGGTTGTGAAAAGTGCCGGCACAGTGTCTTAGGTTGTAAGAAGTGCCGGCACAGTGTGGTAGGTTGTAAGAAGTGCCGGCACAGTGTAGTCGGTTGTGAGAAGTGCCGGCAAAGTGCGGTAGGTTGTAAGAAGTGCCGGTACAGTGTGGTAGGTTGTAAGAAGTGCCGGCACAGTGTAGTCGGTTGTGAGAAGTGCCGGCAAAGTGCGGTAGGTTGTGAAAAGTGCCGGCACAGTGTGGTCGGTTGTGAGAAGTGCCGGCAAAGTGCGGTAGGTTGTGAGAAGTGCCGGAATAGTGTAGTAGGTTGTGAAAAGTGCCGGCAAAGTGCGGTAGGTTGTGAGAAGTGCCGGTACAGTGTGGTAGGTTGTGAGAAGTGCCGGTACAGTGTGGTAGGTTGTAAGAAGTGCCGGCACAGTGCGGTAGGTTGTGAGAAGTGCCGGTACAGTGTGGTAGGTTGTGAGAAGTGCCGGTACAGTGTGGTAGGTTGTGAGAAGTGCCGGCACAGTGTGGTAGGTTGTGAGAAGTGCCGGTACAGTGTGGTAGGTTGTGAGAAGTGCCGGTACAGTGTGGTAGGTTGTGAGAAGTGCCGGTACAGTGTGGTAGGTTGTGAGAAGTGCCGGCATACTGTGGTTTGAGAAGTGCCGGCACAGTGTGGTAGGTTGTGAGAAGTGCCGGCAAAAGTGTGGTAGGTTGTGAGAAGTGCCGGAATAGTGTAGTAGGTTGTGAAAAGTGCCGGCAAAGTGTGGTAGGTTGTGAGAAGTGTCGGCAAAGTGTGGTAGGTTGTGAGAAGTGCCGGCACAGTGCTGTAGGTTGTGAGAAGTGCCGGCAAAGTGCGGTAGGTTGTGGGAAGTGCCGGCACAGTGTGGTAGGTTGTGAGAAGTGTCGGCACAGTGTGGTAGGTTGTGAAAAGTGCCGACCTAAAGATGATTCCTCTAAAGTCTGTTAACGTTAGGCCTAATCAAAACACAAATTCGTGAAGTGTCCTTTATGTCACCTTATAATTACTTCATTCGTCAATGGCTCTGTATGAGCAGTCCTCTATGTCTCGTGTACCCCCCTTTCCCTCCCCCCACCCTCCATAGGCATCAGTCCCAAAAATTAAACTAAATAATTAACAAAAAATGAAACAAAATAATTTGTAACACTTGTATCATCCAGCTGGTTCCGTCTCTGTATAGAACCACTACAGGGCTATAATTGTGTCCCCTAGATGTAAAGATAGACTATTTTTAATGTTATTGTTTCCTGTACTATTATATAGCTAATAATTACATCACCGGCTCGGTCCTATGGTACGCGGTATGTCGACAGAAATAATAATTTATATTATCACAGTTAATGATATTCTAACCTTAAATCAGACTAGTCTATCGCCTAACAAGTTATCGTCATCCAATTAACGTTATTATCTTTTCTTATTCAATCGAAGCATGGTTATTAAAAAACTCAAGGCGAAAATATTTTTGAAAAAGAAGAGAAAATAACAACCTGTAGTCCACGAAGAGATCAGCGTGATATTGTAAACACGGATACAACTATTTTAGCTGCATGGGAATTTTTTTTTAGTAGCCTACACAGTAGGGGCTTTAAATCTTTTTTTAGATAACTAGGTCAACTGTGTATGCCGAGTTATAAAATTTAATAATAGTATTACAGCATCGAAGCAAGCTAGATGTAATGAGTAAAGAATATTACACGAGTGGACACATCTGGTATACACACTTTAAATTCATGTGGACACTAGACCGTTTCAAGACTAGATGTTTATTTAGCGATGTCTTAAACTGTATCGATATCTTTATGTATTATATTTTAGGCCCTATCAATAAAACTGCGTACACTAACTAAATCTGTGCTATGGCGTCGCTAGGTGTCACCCCCAAGCAGAGGCGTAGCGAGGGGTGGGGGGGGGGGGGAATATGTCCCCGGCGCCGACCTTAGGTAGGGGGCGCCAAAATGGGTTGGAAAAATAAATTGAAAGTTTGTCCCCGGGCGCCGGGAAGGATCGCTACGCCTCTGCCCCCAAGAAACAAAGTATATAGTGTGTATATATGTGTATATATATATATATATATATATATATATATATATATATATATATATATATATATATATATACATATATATATATATATATACATGTGTGTGTGTGTTTGTATATGTACAAGCCTTAATCACTGCAGACTGCAGAAAGATAACGATGTTTATCCAAAGTCTGTTAATAATACAGTTGGATGTAGCATTGTTTTCTCTGTAGTTAGCACGTTTACGTCATGGTGTCACCCCCACCCTCTTGTAATAATTGCCAATTTATACTGAAAAGACTATTTAACTTTAATTAATCTCTAATGGAACTGGCAAAAAAGCATTTTTCTTCAGTACAATTTGCAATTTTTTGCCCTGGTGTGTCCCCCCCCCCCCCCCAAATGGCGTCACCCAGTGCGGTCCGCACCCCCGCCCCGCCCTCGCTACAACTCGGTGTACTGGGGAGATACACGACTTTGTTGACACATCAGAAACAAAAAGATTTTATACCTGGGACATGTTGATGAATTGTATTGATACATTTAAATTAGGCGATGAATTGTATTGACAGAATTAAGTTAGGCGGCAGAAGGCAAACTTTATAATGACAGGAACGTTTACGCTGGGATGGTTTGTTGTTTTGTTGGCTCGTTTGTCAGTGAGTCCACGGCTGACATGATCTGAACCGTTACAACTTGAAAATAGACCTGACCACTGTCAAAAAAACCTGTGATACCTGACCACTGTCAAAACACGTGTGATATCGCAGATACAGATGACCCATGTTGATTAGTGACTTGTGGGATTGTACTGACATGTAGCATCTTGAGGCTGACCTTTGAGGATATCGGCCATCTTGACGCTGAACTTTGAGGATATCGGCCATCTTGACGCTGACCTTTGAGGATATCGGCCATCTTGCCGCTGACCTTTGAGGATATCGGCCATCTTGCCGCTGACCTTTGAGGATATCGGCCATCTTGAGGCTGACCTTTGAGGATATCGGCCATCTTGCCGCTGACCTTTGAGGATATCGGCCATCTTGACGCTGACCTTTGAGGATATCGGCAATCTTGACGCTGACCTTTGAGGATATCGGCCATCTTGAGGCTGACCTTTGAGGATATCGGCCATCTTGACGCTGGACTTTGAGGATATCGGCCATCTTGACGCTGACCTTTGAGGATATCGGCCATCTTGACGCTGACCTTTGAGGATATCGGCCTTCTTGACGCTGACCTTTGAGGATATCGGCCATCTTGCCGCTAACCTTTGAGGTTATCGGCCATCTTGACGCTGACCTTTGAGGATATCGGCCATCTTGCCGCTGACCTTTGAGGATATCGGCCATCTTGACGCTGACCTTTGAGGATATCGGCCATCTTGACGCTGACCTTTGAGGACATCGACCATCTTGACGCTGACCTTTGAGGATATCGGCCATCTTGACGCTGACCTTTGAAAACATCGGCCATCTTGACGCTGACCTCTGAGGACATCGGCCATCTTGGAGCTCATCTTAATATCTCGCATTCACTTGACAAGCTGTAGCTTCACCACAACACACCAATTGACCCTCGTGACTAATAAGTCTTGAATAACTACACACAGCACAGCAACAAGTGTGCTTGGTCGCTTTCTTTCAGCTGCTCTGATAAGTTTACAGAGGGGGGGGGGGGGGGGGGGGCTTGGGGGGTTGGCCAACAAGTATCTTCAAAGTTTACAGAGGGTTGGCCAACAGATATATATATATATATATATATATATATATATATATATATATATATATATATATATATATATATATATATATATATATATTGACCGATAAGTTAACTGATGGTTAGCCAACAGATATATTCACCTACAAGTTTACAGCGGGATTGAGCAACAGATATATTCACCTATAAGTTTACATCAGGATTGAGCAACAGATATATTCACCGATACATTTATGACCGGGTTAGAGTTTGTTACGGCGAGCCCTGGAATACACCCGACCGGGGAAGCGGGGAGTTTATATTGTTGTGACCTTAAGCTCGTCAGTCATCGGCAAGTCTTTGTTTTGAAAGCTTGGAGAATTGAGTTTATTTAACAGCCTGTTTAATAGTGAAGACAAATTGCAGTGCTTTGCAAGCATCGCATCGTCTTATTATAAGCTACAAGGGGTCTGTTATGTACTGCCTTCATTTTTTTTTCTGTTGGCAAAGTTGTTTTCTTTTCGCATGCGTCCAATAAACGAACATGAACAAAATATTATATCCATGCACAATTTTAAACATATTAAACTGCTCAATGTTAAATGTTATCTTGTCTCAGGTCTCAGACTGTTAGAAAACATTTGATACAAATTAATCATACTTGCGTGAACAAAATGTTTCAATAAAAACAATTTGTAAATATCAAGGGAAATAACTCGATGATAATTTTTTTTTATTTAACTCCATACTTTCCTCCAAAGTTTTTTTTTTTTTTTTTTTTTTTTTTTTTTTTTTTTTTTTTTTTTTTTTGCTGCTTAGGACCATGGTTAATTTAGATGAAAGTTTAAGCTATGTTTATTATTTTCCGATAAGTCGGTGCATTATGTTATAGTAACTATTATGGCTATCCTATAGATCAGGGGTCTCCAAACTTTTCAGTCCGAGGGCCGCATTAACTATCAAATTTCAGTTCGGGGGCCAGTTTCTTCCAGGTGTGTCTTTGATTTTTTTGGGTAAAGTTCCTCAGCCATCACCAACAAACGTTTTTTTCCGTGGACAAAATGATCTCCGCGGGCCGGATGAGAGGACCTCGCGGGCCGCATACGGCCCTCGGGCCGTAGTTTGGAGACCCCTGCTATAGATTAATACGTATTTATTTTTAAATTGTTAAAAAAAAAACTGCGTAAATAAAATAATATCTTGACTTGATTTAGTTTTTGTTGCCCCTGATGACCTTAGGACTACAGCCACACCTCTCCACTGGACTCGTGTTAGACAGCTGTCCTTATTTCCGCTCACGCTAGCCCGGCACCCCTTGCCCCTTCTTCTAATGTTCTTCAAGGTTTCCTCCTTACCCGGGAATTCTAGTCTGACGCCTTCCTGGCGATGTAAATTATTATATAGTGTTTTAACATTAACTACATATAGTAGTGTATCTTTAGCAGTGTAATTTTAAAATGCAAATGATTGAAGTCATTGACCCAACAGTTTAAAGCTTGCCCAATCTTTGCTATAAAAACAAGACTTAGGCCGACAAAGATCCAACGTTCCGGAAAAAATGAAAATCTTCACTTGAATACCTTTGCTGCAGTCAGTCAACTCGGACTTAAGTGCAAACTTTTGAGCAAAGTGGGCGAGTCCTTCAAGAGCCGCACAGTCAAAGAAATTGGAGGGGGGGGGGGGGGTCGGCTTGGTCGAGTCGGTAAAGTCTCGAGTTCGAACCCTCGGGCAGATGAGTGGGACAGCCAAAATCAAACAACTGCTGCCTTGTCGAGTCGGCAAAGCTCATGGTTGTTAAATTCGAAAAGTTCGAACACTCTGGCAGAAAAGGCTCGATCCTTTGCAACATTCAAAATTAAGAACGAGGAAGGAAAAAAAATCGTGAATTAGAGAAAATCTGGCTTTGTATTCGGCGCACAGAATCGGTCTTTTTTTGACAAAAGAGTAAAAAAAAAAGACTGATAGAAACCAACTTGCCAAACATGTAATTAGCATTTACGACAATTTAGACCAAGAGAGATGCTCTTATTTACTATAAAAGTTAGGGCCTATGTGGTCGGGTCGGTAAAGCTAATGGTTGCTAAACCAGAAAGTCCCGAGTTCAACCCGCTGGATCGATAGCCGAGGACAGCAACCCACCTAGGAGAGAAAACTCCAAAACCAAACATCTGCTGCCTGGTAGTTCTTTTTTCTCTGATTGACAAGGGCGATTGACCAGAAATAAAACCAGGCGGAAATCGGAGTCAACTGCCTCTATTCTACAACTAAATTCTACTACATTCTACTACATTCTACTAAATTCTACTACATTGTAGTATATTTTACTAAATTCTACTACATTCTACTAAATTCTACTATATTCTACTAAATTCTAATAAATTCGACTACATTCTACTATATTCTACTAAATTCTACTACATTCTACTACATTCTACTACATTCTACTATATTCTACTAAATTCTACTACATTCTACTATATTCTACTACATTCTACTATATTCTACTAAATTCTACTACATTCTACTACATTCTATAACATTCTACTACATTCTACTATATTCTACTACATTCTACTACATTCTACTACATTCTACTACATTCTACTACATTCTACTACATTCTATATGGCGCACACAATTGCCTGAACTCTGCACCCAGCCTGTAGATATAAATGTACCGCCACTATTTGAAGCCTTCATACGAGCACTTAAGTCACAAATAAAGCAAGTTTGATTATTTTCTGCTTTTCTGTGCATTTAAAACCGTGCTATTATAAAGGTGTTTATATTTGTTTTATTCAACATTGTGACCACGTTATCATCTATTAAGTTTTGGTGATTCCTTCTTCCCATCTCTGACATAGCAGCCCATAGAGTGCTGGAGTGCCTGTTTTTCTGTCTAGATATTCTCTGAAGGGATACCGTATCTCCCTGGAGCTTCTCCTTGAGTGAGCGATTTAATAGCTGCACTAAGTTCAACTTCGGTCGGAGGGGTTTATAAATCATGTATTACTTTTAGAGCTGGAAAATTTGGACGTTAATGAAAATTTAAACGCAAACATAAACGTAAACATAAAAACAAACGATCACAAAAGCATGAACGTAAACATAAGTTAAGCCGAATTTCCAATATACTATACATAATAGATAGGTTATTCACTTTTGGCCCAGAAGATCAAGATTTCAATTACCTGGTTATGTTATGGGTAAAACTCGCGTGTCAATTGATTTAAAAAATAGTTAGCCTTTAATTTAACCGGTCCGTCTTCAGATTTGGCGTCATATTGTGACCATCGATTACACAAGATCAATAAGAAAATGTTTGGCCGCGTCTCAACAAATTGTTTTATGTAAGGGTGGACATTTCATTTTACTGTAAAATGGCCATCTACACAATTATAAAGGTCTTTTCTACATAATCAATCGGAAACTTAGGTGGAAACTATGGAGAGAGAGAGAGAGAGAGAGAGAGAGAGAGAGAGAGGGGGGGGGGGAGGGAGGGAGAGAAAAATGGAAGGGAGGGATGGAGGGAGAGAAACTAATTAAAGATATTGTGGGTATAATATAAGCTGAACTTTAAAGGCTCATAATTAACAAACTGAGCACGTTTTGTCGACGGTCAAATCTGCTTTTATCAATGACCCACATTGCTGACAATACCTTTACACGTAATTTTTAATTGTGTTGGGGCAAATCACACCCAACTCTAGAATAAAAAGAACGAAGAAGAAGAAGGAAGAGGAGGTGGAGGTAACACAATAGACCTCACAAATTAAAATGTTAAGCATGGAAAAAACGAAAACTTGCATGAATAAAATAACGGTAACATTTGATGTGTATAAATAAAAAAAAGTTCCGCCTTACAACCGTATTCCCTCAAACGCACAACATCTTAAAGTAAAATTTAACTCTTAAATCCTCTTTTTTGATCAAGTTTATTTGGTTTTAAAGCATGACCACCAATTTTAGATGGTATAAAGAGTAGCCCTTTATTTGCTAATACATGCTTGATTTACGCAGTTTCATTTCAGTGAAGCTCAAAGATTGGTAGAAGTTAGTTACAGGACGGAAGGTTATCCCGGCACCATAGTGTATGTGGTTGTATACACCATTGATGTTGATACTGTGACATCTGGCATACCACCAGCCCCCGTGGTAGGTATTTGCGCAGTTTCCCGTAAAGACATCATTGTCATTGTCATAGGTACTGAAAGCATGGCCGCTAAGACCTCCAAACCCGGCAGTTGTGTTTCCAGTGTAGTTTCTTCCAACAGTCATTCTGTACAAACCCGCCTCGTTTTGAACTCTGAAATCTCTGTACACTAAAAAGTAGGATCTACCTTGGAATTTGAAGTCGAACCTCAATTCATCATAGCCATTAAAAATGGTGAAGTTTAATCACAACATTTGAATAACGGATACAAAAGTTGTTTTTTTTTTTTGCTATATCTATGTACGCCCTCACCGGGGAGGGGGGTGTACGTAATCTAACCCCCCCCCCCCCCCCCCCCAGGACTGCTAAACTAGCCACGTGTCAGTGCAAGTCTAAAATATAAAAAAAAAACAAAAGATAATTAACTACAAATAAACGTTGTTACAATGAAGGGCAGAGCCTACTTCTCGAAAAGAATTAAAAAACAAATCACTTAAAAATAAAATTTAAAAAAAAAATTAACAATACATAAATCTACAGAAAAATAAAACGAACAAAATACACAATCGGACTACAAACAAACCTGGAAAGAAAAAAAAACAGATAAGTGAAAATCATATAAGAAATAAAAATGGGATATACAAGACATAATTCACGAATGTACAAGATTAATTTAAAGTTTAGCCTTCAAGCAAATGATGATAAGATCAAATGTTATAATTAATCCACAGGTAGTTCACCCAGAATAAACTTGCAAAATATGCAAATGACGTCAAAAATGACATGGTTTAACATTATCATTCCCGTAAGGTCTCGTTAAAGATATCCCCAGGGTGTAACGGTCACAAGGTGCAGAAGTACCACCTAACCCAACAGACGGTAGTGAACACCAGTAGCGTAGGGAGGGGGGGGGGGGGGGGGGGGGGGTCGGCGGGTGGGGGGGGGGGGGTGATCGATGGGGGACATAAGTCCCCGGGTGCCGACCTTAGGGGGCGCCAAAATGGGTTGGGAAAATAAATCGAAAGTTTGAGGGGGGATGCAAGTCGAAATCTTGAGGGGGGGGGGGGTGCAAATCGAAAGTTTGAGGGGGGGGGGGGGTGTGCAAATCGAAAAGTTTGTCCCCGGGCGCCAGGAAGGGTCGCTACGCCTCTGGTGAACACAGAACTGGGGTATGGTAGCTCATGGGCAGGGGCGTAGCGAGGGGGGGGGGGGGCGGGGGTGCGGACCGCACCGGGTGACACCATTTAGTGGGGGTGACACCAAGGCAAAAAATAGCAAAATATAGAGAAAAACTCTAGGGGGGGGGGGGTGCAAATCGAAAGTTTGAAAGTTTGTCCCTGGGAAGGGTCTCTATGCCTCTGGGGGGGGGGGGGGGATGACACCATTAAGTGCCGCACCAGGTGACACCCGACCTCGCTACGCCACTGCTCATGGGAAACATCTAACAGTTAGTTCTTCGACTTGAGGTTAACAAATAATATGAAACTAAATTAGAATAATGTTATAATGGTACATGAATTGATACGCCAACAGACCAGCATAGCAACACGTGACCTTGTGATACAACAGTCCTGACTTCTCAAACAAAGTCTAAGAAACTTGCGTCACTTACATGGACAAACTTAGCCCAATTCATAAAACGTGAAATAAAATTTAAAAAATAAAAAAATACCTACGTTACAGAACAATAGAAATACAATGGAGATAGGCTTAATTAATCGTTTCACATAGGCCTCAACTTTACCTCAGAAAAATGCCTCCCTGCTCTAAACCAAAGGGAATTCAAATTCTGTGTTTTCGCCAAAGTACACACGTTTTACACACTACGCACAAGAAATAGTTCCTAACAAAACGATAGCTAGCGATAAAATACAAAAGATAACAAAGGACCATTTATTAATAAAACAAACTTAACAATAGTAGCAAAAATATAAACAAAACATACACGAACCAGTACCATATATAGTTAAAACGAAAATTTTAAAAATGCGGGCACCATAATGCCGGACAATTTAATTTAATGAAAAACTGCCGTCTACCGCGAACTAAAAGCTACACTCATTTTTTATTTCAGCTGAAAAGTTAATACAAAATTGATAAATAACACCTAGCCACTCACATCTATTGTCACGAGCAAGGACATGTTCACGTGCGTGTGCATGTCTACGAGTATGAGCACACTTCCTTGATTATATTTGTTTTTATTTGTGATTGCATTAACGTATGTATGCTTGTACAGGTGTTTATTTTCATGTGCATCTGTGTGAGTATAGTTTAGTTTTACCTAAGTCTTAAAGTAAATACAAGCATTATACTTTACCGCATGAGTTAGTTGTGAAATCAGATCATTCCCAAGCCAAAAGTCTCCATCCAATGAGCCAAATCCATTTTTGTAATCGGCCCAGGTTCTTTTGAAATTCACATCAAACTTGAATCTACGCTGAATATATATTTTATAAGAATCATAGTTTATAATATATTTAAAAGCTTGTTTTTTTAAAAAAATTCATTAATAATCAGTAGCCCCGATGAATACATTTATGTTTAAAATGAAAATTAAACTATTTGAAGTTTTTGTGTGTAAGTTGAATGTGAATTAAATGTTTAAAGCTACAAATGTATATCAACATTTAGGTTCAATAGGCTCGGTGAAGTTTAAGTTCAATTCAGTGATTAAGTGTAGCAATTAGACTGAGTGTAACGAGTGAGCTAATTAAAGTGACCGAAAGAGCTTAGCATTAACATTGATTAAGCGAACAAAGTGATGCTCCCATCTCCCCCACCCTCCACTAGGCCTCCACCTCCATCACCACATTCCGTAAGATCAAGTCAGCTCAAGTCAGCTCAAGTCAGCTCAAGTCGGCTGATTTTCAAAGAAAATGTACTTTGTAAAACCAGTTAAGTTCTAATTATAATCCTTTACTATGTTATTAAACAATATTTGTACACATTGACTTTTGAGGTCCATGAAAGTAATTTAAAACAGTAAGCATTGTAATAACAAGTAACCTGTGTGTTATTGATACCTGAATAACGATAATGAAACTGCAAGTCACATGTTTCATGCAGAGGCGTAGCGACCGATTCCAGCGCCGGGGGTGAACTATTAATTTTCGCCCCTCTCATTTACATTTATTCATATTAGTGAAAAAGAGCCCCCCCCCCTTTCCTACTCATCCTAGGTTGAAAAGGTTGGTGGCACTTTTTACCAGTCTATAGATTTTACTTTGGCGCCACACTTAGTGCACGATTCAATACTTCAGCTTAAAATGAGCTTTTCAATATTTTTTACCCCTTTTGGCGCCCTATTAGTGTCGGCGAACAGAGCGGCCGCCCCACCCGCCCTACCTAGCTACGCCACTGCATGGATGTCATTGGTACCTGAATAACGATCCTTTACTTACAAGTTAACTGTATATTATTGGTATCTGAATACCGACTTTGTCATCGAAGGTTACCTGTGTTACACCTGTATGTCATTGATACCTGTATAATGATCCATGTTACAAATAACCTGTATATCAATGATACCTGTATAATGATCCATGTTACAAGTAAAGTTGTATGTAATTGATACCTGTATAATGATCCATGTTACAAGTAAAGTTGTATGTAATTGATACCTGTATAATGGTCCATGTTACAAGTAAAGTTGTATGTAATTGATACCTGTATAATGATCTATGTTACAAATTACCTGTATGTAATTGCAGTATAATGATCCATGTTACAAGTAACCTGTATGTAATTGATACCTGTATAATGATCCATGTTACAAGAAAAGTTGTAATTGATACCTGTATAATGATCCATGTTACAAGTAAAGTTGTATGTAATTAATACCTGCATAATGATCCACGCACCACAGTCAGTTTCTGTGTCGCAGAGAACTTGTTTCCCCCCAAATGACTTGAACACCTCTCTACTTTTCATGCAGGGTGTGATAAAACGTTGTTCACAGGGCGGGTTTTTGTTCTAAAATCGAAATTTGTCTTGAAGTTTAAAAAACATCATTTGCTTGCGAAATAGTTTTAAAATAGCACTCGCATTGAAACCAAGAATGTTAAACTTACAATAACATCAGATAGAATAGTTTTTAGTTTAATTTTTTTTGTCCTCTTCTGTCATAAGTTTTTTTCCCAGACTCCTCTTCCCCCCCCCCCCTTCCCCCCCCCCCCCCCCCGAAGAGATGCCTGGAAGAAACTCTGGTATATTTAGCGCTTCTAAAGCATTACTGCTCTATCATATATGGTAGAGCGGTAGTCATACTTTAGAATACAATATTTTAGTTTGAAAATCACTATATATTGATGAACAATAATCAGTTAAGTTTTAAATTTCTTGTTTGTTTCGTTCACCTATATTTCTATAATTTAAATAGTTTCTTATTTTACATTTTCCCATCAACATAAGGGAGAAAACTGTTCACAAAGTTCCCAGAATGACAAAAACACGAGAATTACGTTTCCATGGATGGCTCTACAATATTGCCTATTGCTGCAGCGTCCAATCTTTGTGCTTCTTGTGTATCTGTTCGCTTGGGGAGAATTTGTAAAGTTAAAATTCCAATATTTAACATTATAAGATGAGGTGTTTTTTTATAGCAGTTGAATGTGTATAGAACATTTAGCTTTATAGCTAAAATTTTAGCGAAAGGTTAGTTCTCAGCCAAACAAAAGTCACCTACACATTTAGACAAAAGCCACCCATACATATAGACAAATAGTCATCCACACATATTATAATATAGACAAAACTAAGGGTTTAGCGATCAACATTTGATATAATCCACCTTACATTTCCGATGAGCTCAGATTAAAAGAAATAAGTAAAATGATTTCACACTAGTATAGAGCAAAGATTTGAACTGCTGCACTTTTCGATATCAAGGCTATAACGCTTGTGTAAACCACCAAGGTTTTGGCACCAACAATCGGTTACATTTTAAGACACTGGTCTTTTGAAGAAGCGCTGTTGCTAGCAGACATTTAGAATTTAAAAACCTTTTGCACCAGTCACTGATATTAGTTTTTCTAGAACTACTTTACTTATTTTAGATTTAGTAGGTCGTTATTGTTGAATTGCCCGAACTTTAAACTAGAAACAGTGCACAAAAACAAAGGCTACTACAGGGAATGATAAACAAAGGCTACCACAGGGACATAAACAAAGGCTACCACAGGGACATAAACAAAGGCTACCACAGGGGCATAAACAAAGGCTACCACAGGGACATAAACAAAGGCTACTACAGGGACATAAACAAAGGCTACCACAGGGACATAAACAAAGGCTACCACAGGGACATAAACAAAGGCTACCACAGGGACATAAACAAAGGCTACTACAGGGACATAAACAAAGGCTACCACAGGGACATAAACAAAGGCTACCACAGGGACATAAACAAAGGCTACCACAGGGACATAAACAAAGGCTACCACAGGGAATGATAAACAAAGGCTACCACAGGGACATAAAGAAAGGCTACCACAGGGACATAAACAAAGGCTACCACAGGGACTGATAAACAAAAGCTACCACAGGGACATAAACAAAGGCTACCACATTGACATAAACAAAGGCTACCACAGGGACTGATAAACAAAGGCTACCACATGGACATAAATAAAGGCTACCACAGGGACATAAACAAAGGCTACCACAGGGACATAAACAAAGGCTACCACAGGGACATAAACAAAGGCTACCACATGGACATAAACAAAGGCTACCACATGGACATAAACAAAGGCTACCACAGGGACATAAACAAAGGCTACCACATGGACATAAACAAAGGCTACCACAGGGACATAAACAAAGGCTACCACATGGACATAAAGAAAGGCTACCACAGGGACATAAACAAAGGCTACCACAGGGACATAAACAAAGGCTACCACAGGGACATAAACAAAGGCTACCACAGGGACCTAAACAAAGGCTACCATAGGGACATAAATAAAGGCTACCACAGGGACATAAACAAAGGCTACCACAGGGACATAAACAAAGGCTACCACAGGGACATAAACAAAGGCTACCACAGGGACCTAAACAAAGGCTACCACAGGGACATAAACAAAGGCTACCACAGGGACATAAACAAAGGCTACCACATGGACATAAACAAAGGCTACCACAGGGACATAAACAAAGGCTACCACGGGGGCTGATAAACAAAGGCTACCACAGGGACATAAACAAAGGCTACCACAGGGACATAAACAAAGGCTACCACAGGGACATAAACAAAGGCTACCACAGGGAATGATAAACAAAGGCTACCACAGGGACATAAAGAAAGGCTACCACAGGGACATAAACAAAGGCTACCACAGGGACTGATAAACAAAAGCTACCACAGGGACATAAACAAAGGCTACCACATTGACATAAACAAAGGCTACCACAGGGACATAAACAAAGGCTACCACAGGGGCATAAACAAAGGCTACCACAGGGACATAAACAAAGGCTACTACAGGGACATAAACAAAGGCTACCACAGGGACATAAACAAAGGCTACCACAGGGACATAAACAAAGGCTACCACAGGGACATAAACAAAGGCTACTACAGGGACATAAACAAAGGCTACCACAGGGACATAAACAAAGGCTACCACAGGGACATAAACAAAGGCTACCACAGGGACATAAACAAAGGCTACCACAGGGAATGATAAACAAAGGCTACCACAGGGACATAAAGAAAGGCTACCACAGGGACATAAACAAAGGCTACCACAGGGACTGATAAACAAAAGCTACCACAGGGACATAAACAAAGGCTACCACATTGACATAAACAAAGGCTACCACAGGGACTGATAAACAAAGGCTACCACATGGACATAAATAAAGGCTACCACAGGGACATAAACAAAGGCTACCACAAGGACATAAACAAAGGCTACCACAGGGACATAAACAAAGGCTACCACATGGACATAAACAAAGGCTACCACAGGGACATAAACAAAGGCTACCACAGGGACATAAACAAAGGCTACCACAGGGACATAAACAAAGGCTACCACAGGGACATAAACAAAGGCTACCACATGGACATAAACAAAGGCTACCACAGGGACATAAACAAAGGCTACCACAGGGACATAAACAAAGGCTACCACAGGGACATAAACAAAGGCTACCACATGGACATAAAGAAAGGCTACCACAGGGACATAAACAAAGGCTACCACAGGGACATAAACAAAGGCTACCACAGGGACATAAACAAAGGCTACCACATGGACATAAAGAAAGGCTACCACAGGGACATAAACAAAGGCTACCACATGGACATAAAGAAAGGCTACCACATGGACATAAACAAAGGCTACCACATGGACATAAACAAAGGCTACCACAGGGGCATAAACAAAGGCTACCACAGGGACTGATAAACTTAGGCTACCACAGGGGCTGATAAATAAAGGCTACCACGGGGGCTGATAAACAAAGGCTACCACAGGGACATAAACAAAGGCTACCACAGGGGCATAAACAAAGGCTACCACAGGGACATAAACAAAGGCTACCACAGGGACTGATAAACAAAGGCTACCACAGGGGCTGATAAATAAAGGCTACCACGGGGGCTGATAAACAAAAGCCACCTCAGGGGCTGATAAACAAAAGCTACCACAGGGGATGATAAACAAAGGCTACCACATGGACATAAACAAAGGCTACCACAGGGACATAAACAAAGGCTACCACAGGGACAAAAACAAAGGCTACCACAGGGACAAAAACAAAGGCTACCACAGGGACATAAACAAAGGCTACCACAGGGACTGATAAATAAAGGCTACCACAGGGACTGATAAACTTAGGCTTATGCACATGTACAGATAAAAAAGAGTTACCCCCCTCGTTATCCTTGTTTTGGCAGTGAAACTCTTGCAAGAACAGCAGAACAACGATAATCAAACTCTTGTAGTCTATCGTTGTGTCCAGCTAGACGACCAGGCCGATCAGTACCGAATGATGAGAGCAGTAGCACCATAATAATCTTTTCACGTGGCAAGTAATCTGGTCACGTGTTCAACGGTGATGGAAGTGTGCGCTTCTGCACTCAAATGAGTAAACTCTCAAGGTTGTTTAGCAATCACGTGGAGCTTTGATTAGTGTACATCGTATTTTGACAGATAGTTTTGTTAGGAATAGTCGCGTTAGTAAAATCATATCAAGTAGTATAAATGTAATCAAAGATAGTAGCGTAATTCAAACATTGTATATTGTAAAAATAAATAAATTAGTTGCTGTAAGTGGCCAGTTTAGGTATTTTTTACCCACTCTTACATATCTACCAGCCGGTGAAAACTCCATTACAAAACTTTTTAAATAGTTGCACTGTCATTCAACATGTGATCGTAATGTATACCTTCATTACCACAGAATAAGGAACGTTTAATGTATTCACAAAGATGTTATAACACTTTTCCTTCCGTCAATCAGACTAACTAGAGGTAAGAAGCAACTGGTAACATATCACAGGAGTAGTAGACTTTGAATGATGACATGTACCATAAGAGTGGGGGGGATGGGGGATCTGAATGTTAAGATAGCTTTGTAATTAAGTGGTTAATAAATTACAACGCAGCCAATGTTTCTTTCCGACTTTTTTCTATAGTTACCTATACACCAGTTAACTATATACCAGTTACTTATAGACCAGTTAGTTAACTATACACCAGTTACCTATACACCAGTTAGTGACGTCTTCATGTCGGGTGTCACCCCCTCCATATCTAATATATAAAGCTCAGTTCTGTAACGCATATGTTTGTTTGTCGCTGGTTATCCATGGATTTAAGTGTTAGAAAATTATCGTGCGCATTTGTCTAAATTTATGAGTAAAAAAATTACTATTAAAAGTGTTGGGAAATAATTTTCATTTTTCAAATTATAGTAATAATTGTCGGCATGTTCATTAAACACAAGTTTTAAAAAAATATCATCTTTTACAAAAATTCTAATTATGTCTTTATTTAGTCCTATAGCGCTTACTTCCCTTTGATAAATAAGGCAAAACACAATTACTTCCCTTTATAAAACCATTGCATTAGTTGAAAAGCATTTACTTTTTAATTACTTTGTTTTGGTGTTGGGAAAAAAATAATTACATAATTAGCGGGGATTGATCAAGTGCAAATGTTGTAGGTATTTTACGGATAAGCTTGGAGTATTATAATTGTTCATTAAATTGAAACAGGCGCGTTCGTTTAAGTGAGTGCAAAAACTATGAATAAGTTGGGGTACTATAGTCGTTTATTAAGCTAAAACAGGCGATTCTGCCCCGGGCGTTTATGTTCGCGTTAGTGTTTTCTTTGTGTTTAGGTGGGTTTGCGTTAGTGGTTGCGTTTTGATTTGGTTCGTTTTTGTTCTTTCTTTTTTCGTTTTTGTTTGGGTTTTTTTGTTTGGGTTTGTATTTGTGTTTTTGGTTGGTTTTGCGTTTGGATTTGGTTTGTTTGCGTTTGCTTTTTCGTTGTTTTTTTTTTTTGGTATTGGTGTTTGTGGTTGGGTTTGTTGTTAGGTTTTTGTTTTCGTTTGTTTTTTCTTTGTGTTTGTATTGGTGTTTGTGGTTGTGGTTGGGTTTGTTGCTAGGTTTTTGTTTTCGTTTGTATTTGTAATTGTGTTAGCGTTATGTTTGCGTTTTGTTGTTTTGGTTTTGGTTGGTCGTGGTTTGGGTGAGCAATGCCGGGTTTATGATGATTACTAAACACACAGGTAATGGTCTTTAACAGAAAGGTTTTTCACAGAAGCCAGAGCAGGGCCTGGCCGGGACGGCTAGTATATATATATATATATATATATATATATATATATATATATATATATATATATATATATATATATATATATATATATATATATATATACATATATATATATATATATATACATATATATATATATATATACATATATATATATACATATATATATATATATATATATATATATATATATATATATATACATATATATATATATATATATATATATATATATATATATATATATATATATATATATATATATATATATATATATATGAATTTGCGGAATGATTCCGCGTCCCGTACTGTGTTAAATAAAAAAAAACTGCTCACACAAATTAGGTGTAGTATGCACCATTTGTACCCAAACGTGACATTGATTGCCTTTCGAGTTGTAGTTCCTTTTGTGTCTACATATCTTTGCGAGAATAGATTTTCAACACATCTCCAATTAAAAAACAAAACAAATAAATAAATTACATGTTGAGAATGACATGAGGTTGGCGTTAACAAAAACTCAACCGCGAATATAGAGGCTAGTTTTTTCTTCTGCGTTCTTAGTATTTAGTGTTGGAAGAGATTCCCTCCAATACAATTAAGTGTAAGTGTCAACTTGTAATGCGCCATATAGGCCGTTTACTGCGATTTCAGCCTGCTTTTCTTTTTTGGATTTGCTTCCATAACCTTTGTCCAACCAAGAACAAACTACAAGGCAGCAGTTGTTTGATTTTGGAGTTGTCTCTCCTAGAAGAGTTGCTGTCCCCAGCCACTCGAAAAAGTTTGGGAACCACTGGTTTAGATGGTTCCTATATGTTCGCTTATATTGCAACTAATGTATGACGTTTGCAGTGGCTAAGGCAGAGATTGCTACTGTGGATGTTGGTGTATTCAATTATATAGCCTACATATTCGTAGGGCAAAGATGTTTTCTCACACAATCTAATGTAAACGTGGCAATAATAATTATATTTTGTAAATGGACAAATCACTTAGAAGTTAACATAAGACAAGACGAAATAGGCCGCTATAAGGATAAACGAACCAGGTTAGTTGGTCTTGACCTATAAGCTGATCAATTAGATGTAGTTATTGCCATCAGATTATACTTAATAGATGGTATTGTATTTGGGCTATGCTAATCAGGATTTCAATGTTTTTTTCCTTGAGTGTCAAGCCAGTGGGGTAAATAAAAAAAAAAATCTAATTAAGGTAGGATTAGCTTACGTTAGGCTGGCCATGTTCTCACTTTGCCATTTCTAAAAAAATAGACACGTCATTTGTACACAATATTTCAAAAAAATTTATGAAAGAAAGAGAGAGAAGATGAGAGAGAAAGAGAGAGAGAGAGATGGAGAGAGAGAGAGAGAAAGAGACAAGAAAAAAAAGAGAGGAAGTTTTCAGTCTAACAAACTGCAAACACTTTTTGAACTACCAAATATGCTGTTATCATGCCTCTCATTCTGCTTATTTTCTTTCTGAAGTTCTCAATAAGATCAAGTTTTATTAAACTACACGCATTCAAAGACAAAAGCCATTAAAAATAAACAATGTTAGCATGAGATTTCGTACATATTTTAGTGATCAAAGCTTTTAATTAAAGTAAAAAGCAAATTAGTTTTATATTCTTAGTTTCAGTGCACTAAAAAGCTTACAATTATAAAGGTTATTTATATTTGTCTTATTTTCAGTTGTAGTCATGAGTTCAAATGGTGTTGACACTACATAGACTACGAATAAAAATATTTGCTTTAAAGCCCTATCTCTAAAAGATAGTTCTCTGCCCCTTCTAAGTGTATGGTTGACGTTTAGGCACAAATCATCTAGCATTGAAAACAAAAGTCACAATCCACGACCACCAGTTAGAGCGATTGCTAGTATTTAATCTTGTTGTCTCCCCTTTCATTATTGAAGTTTGTGATCTTTCAATCATAATTTAATGACTAGTCTAATGTCTTGTTTAAACAAAATCGGTGCATGAGAAGTGGGTTAAAATTAAGTTACATGCTTTGCCACAATCCACAAAAAACATCAGACATTGTGAACCATATATAAAGCTTATAAAAAATTATTGAGATCAAAATGTTTACCAAATAAAATAAAACAAACGACACATCATGGCAGACTTTTAACCGTGTTGTACCATCTCCATTCTAGCCTGGCTCAGCTCATGAATCAACATCAGCCTTCAAAGCAGCCAGATCAATTTTCAGTTTGCTCGCCAAAATTAAACAACTTTACTCAATGTCATATTTACATGTGCTTACTATCTTGAAACAGATATTTACACTAGGAGTAGGAGTGAAACTGCGATGGCTTGTTTTATGTTCGTAGAGTGAAGATTACATAGGGCATCACGATGTACAGGGGGCATGAAAATTTACAGGGGCCATGAACATTTACAGCGGGTATCACGATGTACATGGGTCATGAACATTTACAGGGGGCATAAGATTTACAGCGGGCATTAATTGGAGGGGTTTTGTAGGCTGTTGCGTGGGATGTGCTTGTTGTTAGATGAGTTCAATTGGATGGGGGGTAGATTTTGTTGAATGTTGGATAGATTTTGATAAATTTCCGATAGATTTTGTTGAATGTTGGATATATTTTGATAAATTTCCGATAGATTTTGTTGAATGTTGGATAGATTTTGATAAATTTCCGATAGATTTTGTTTGATGTTGGACGGGCTATGCTGGCAAGATTGACAAGTCAATAAAATTTCATTATGTACACAAAGTCCATTACACAAAATACTAGTCATTCAGTCTTCACTTTCATCGTTGTAATTATCATCAGTGTCCTCATTACACGAACAGCTTTCACTGGGGTGAAAGGATAATGTAATGGCACCTTTATTACATTCATAGTTGTTTAGAAGGACAGATGAATCGTCGGAACTTCCACTTCCATCAATGTCAGTTTGACCAGTGTCCGTGGTGCATGAACTCTCTTGACCAGGTTCACTAACTAGGTCCTCAACACCGTCGTTGACAGTGTCATGGACGGATGAACTGTCTAGGTCAAGGTCATCACCCACAAGGTCATCACATACAAGGTCATCGCCCACAAGGTCATCACATACAAGGTCATCGCCCACAGGGCCATGAACATAATTGTTGACATTGTCACTGACAGATGAACCGTCAGGGTCAACATTGACTACAGAGACAGCTGGGCTACATTCACGGCTTGTTGCAGAGTTGGAGTTCCCATGTTCATTACTGATATTATCATCAGTGGTATCGTTGGATGAATTCCCTTCAGATGGGACGAAAGTAAAACGAGGGACTGCTCTATTAGAGCTGTAACAGTTGAAGTTCGTAGAATTCTGCGACTTTTCCCGATCATCATTGCTGAGGTCACCACACTCGCTTCCGTCACTTGTGCGATGCATTTGCAGATATTCCTGCACGTCTTTCCCATCCTTAAGCAGCGGGTTAGTCTCAGCGTCGTAGTTTGATTCTTGACCTCGACGTATCTGACTAGTGGGTCTTATGTCGTCACGATTGCTGGGGTTTTTTGGCACGGTGCCACTGGAAAAATCAGAGGATATTGTGCAGGAGGTACCATGGCCGCTGTCGTTGTAAGTCTCACTTTTGGCATCCGGGGATACAAGTTGTGTTTCATTTGTGGTGGGCTTTGGCTGAAAAACATATTTTACATTAAAATACAACGTAGTTTTTAAATACTTTAATGCTGATCTATATATATAATTCTCTTCTTCGAGCCGTTAGAAAACAATCTGCAAACGCTCTCCCTACCTCCCCACCCCTACATGGTTTTAGTGAGCTGTGTTCACTCTAAATGTTTACAAGCAGAGCCAACGATTTTAAACGTAGGGGGGGGGGGGGGGGAGGAGGGGGGGAGGGAAGGAAGGGGGGGGGGGTTATGGTCCTTAACGAGCTACTTATAGTGTTTTAAAGAAATATTTTCAGTGTCAGCGTTGGTACTGTCGAATTCACAAATTATGAATTATTGAAAATTAGAAACAACTAAATAGCGGCGTATGTTATGCCGCGGGCCGGCTCGTATCTTTATAATTCAAGTAGAACAGGTTTTAGAAATATTGCTTGTAATGAAAATTTTAAATTGAAAAAAATAATTTGTTGATTTTATTTTAATTTTATTTTCAGCCTTGTCGTGGTTTTGCAGCTTGTGAATACCAACGACCCCCAGAGCTATACCAGCGGGAGTGTAAACTCCTGGCATGACCCCCAGAGCTATACCAGCGGAAGTGTAAACTCCTGGCATGACCCCCAGAGCTATACCAGCGGGAGTGTAAACTCCTAGCATGACCCCCAGAGCTATACCAGCGGGAATGTAAACTCCTGGCATGACCCCCAGAGCTATACCATGGGCAGTGTAAACTCCTGGCATGACCCTCAGAGCTATACCAACGGGGGTGTAAACTCCTGGCATGACCCCCAGAGCTATACCAACGGGGGTGTAAACTCCTGGCATGACCCCCAGAGCTATACCAACGGGAGTGTAAACTCCTGGCATGACCCCCAGAGCTATACCAACGGGAGTGTAAACTCCTGGCATGACCCTCAGAGCTATACCAGCGGGAGTGTAAACTCCTAGCATGACCCCCAGAGCTATACCAGCGGGAATGTAAACTCCTGGCATGACCCCCAGAGCTATACCAACGGGAGTGTAAACTCCTGGCATGACCCCCAGAGCTATACCAACGGGAGTGTAAACTCCTGGCATGACCCCCAGAGCTATACCAGCGGGAGTGTAAACTCCTGGCAGTTTCTACTAAGCAGGGAAGATGTGCGTCAGTGAGAGTAAGACTAAAGCTAGCACCCCGGTCCTCCAGGTTGGGGGTTGAGCATAAGGCCAGTAATGTTATTTCGTAAAAATAAGAACGGGGTTACAGAAACTAAAACAGAAAACAATAACACTTTTAAAACCAGCGAAAAATCTTAATGTGGCTTGGTTTTTTAGAGAAAATCACCAACGCCATATATGAAGGGTTACAATGTTAAAGCCATATCACAGACCCATTTATATACAGGAGTCAAACAATGATGTGTTCTGTCCCCCACTGCTTTTAACCTAGTTACTGTTTGGCTGATGACACAAACTACAGACAAAGTACGGCAGGACTATCGTTAAACTTGACAGAAACTGGCAAAAGTGCTCTCTGTGGCGGTCCCATGTGTCTTAGGCACAAAAGAGCAAACAGGGAAAAGATAGTGATGATTTCAATTCAGTTAGCATTTGATATAGGACCACACCATTCCTTTGCTTCTTCTTCATCATGGGAAATATGATCTGAGTCTAAAACTCTAACAGTTACTTAATGCAATAAGAAATGAATACATACATCTTCTGGGCTTGCTGAGCCACTAAGTTTTGCAAAATGACCTTTTCTTTTCCTACAGCGCCTACACATACAACAGCTGAAATAAAGGACACAGAAGAAGTCACACACATGCAGGTTAACACGCATAGAAGGCAACAATTACAATCAAAATAATGCAATCAAACAATCTATTTCTTAGCCTACCAGAAATACAGAGTCAGCTATTAGTTAAGCAGTTCACTAACATGCATCAACTTCAGTTTTAACCCAAACACTAAGCCTAACCCAAGCACAAAGCTCCCAAGGTTCAACATGTGAAACACCCTTAACATGCAACAATGTATAGTCAGAAGACAACTCAGATATTATTAATGTTAGAGATAATTAGAGAGATTAATATATCTTTTACGAGCCCTTCCAAGTATAAAAGTTAAGACATTTATTAACAACCAAGAAACAATGTAAGAAATATAAATGTGTAAAACAGATAGAGAAGTGAATTTCAAACAAAGTAAACAGAAAAAAACCTGTGCCGTTTTAACATATTTTTTAGTGTTTTTAACAGTTGCTGTAGCATCTTTTCAAAAATGAGAAAATTATTTTTACTTCAAAATCAAACTAAAATTTAACAAATTACTGTCTTAACTTTAATATTACCTTACTTTAAATTATTTTAATTTATCATAACTGTCATAATTAAAACACTGTAAATTCATATTTAAACCTCCTATATAGTTAAAGTACAGTAACAATTTATCTCTATTATAATTAAAACACATTCCATCAAAGTAAGGTTAAGTAAAGATAAAAAAAACACAAAACTAAAAACGAAACAACCAATTTATTTTTTATTTTTTTAAAAACGCACAGCTAATAAGAAACATTAAAATAAACTAAATAGAAGACAACAAAAAAACCTGAAAAGCAGAACAAATATAAGCTGATAAGAAATAGTTATGATAAAAAATATCTTCTACAATCAGTGATTTCTGGATTGCATGAAGTTACATATAACATGAGTATAATTGCAGGGTGAGGTAAAAATATTGCTTAAAATTATGCCATTCATCAGAAAAATAATTGTATTGCAGGACTAAAAAATAAAATATTTAATAATTATTATAGTAGAGAAAAACATTTTATTGCATGGTTGACAAATAAAAATATTTAATACTTTTAAATTTTTATATGATACTCTCATACAATTTGTAAAAAATTTGTACAAAGTTGTTTTGTAAAAACAGTCATATGAACTGAAATATTGCATTTTTTATTGTATTCGCGATGAGATTCTGTTCAAAATGCTGAAAAACTGGTATATAAAATTGTTTTAATTGATATACTTTAGCACAAAGCTGGTAGATTGTCCAACTGTGTGTAGATCCAATACATCAAAACCAGGTGGATGGAAGTTTTAAAGTTAATAGAAATTACAATAACACAAAAAAGGGGTTTTAAGAAAAAAATTGCTTTTCATATCTGAACTTGAAAGCCAAATCTCAATACATGGATTCATGTGTCATCAAAAAAGCACAAAATATACTATTTAAAAAAAAAAAAAACTTCATTTAAAAACACTAGAGAATAGATTGCTTTTACATTCAATTTATGTCCAAATGTAAATACTATTTTTGACTAAATGCATTCACATATCAACAGTAAAAGTTTTCTGATGGGGTTTCTTTAATTTTGTAATTCAACAATTATTTTTTCTAAAAAACATTGGTCTTTCTAAAAAAAAATTTATGAAGTACAAAAGCATCTTCTGATTTTGTATTGACATTGTTTTTAAGCAGAAATGACATGACGGTAAGCTTGACTGCTTTGATAATATACTTTAAAAAATACTTCTCATAAAATTAAATAAAAGCTTTTGAGTATTTCTTCCAAAAAACAGCTTTGTACAATTATGAAACATGCAAACCATTGCATTTTCTTAAATGAAATGAGACAATATATTGTTAGTAAATATTGTTGATATTTATCATTGACAATCTTCCTGGTTTTCTTTTATCATGGTAGAGGTTTATCATATCCGCACAGTTGAAGAATGTTGAGATAAGATCTTCATTCTTCTTTCTTCTTATAACAAGGTCAACCTGTCAAGATGCCAAATCCCAAGGCTACTCAGTGCCAGCTGATATAGCATTTAAGAACTTCACCTATCTGTAGAGGATAATCTCAAATGCTTCCTTCCATACTGGTATGGTTTTTACCAGAAATTTTTCACATTGACATATTTATTTGAGCTTTGTTTTCAGGTAATTTTTGACTGTGGTTTAAAAAGAAATCTTTTGGACATCCACTCATCCTAATCGCTGACACATTTTCTTTCCCTTAAACTACATAAATGTTTACACATTTTATTTCCTTATGAAGTCCTTGAACCCTCTGAGATTGAAGTGGCTTCAATTTAAAGAATTATTTCCTTACAATGTTCTTGAACGCACTGAGATTGAAGTGGTTTCAATTTAAAGAATTATTTCCTTACAATGTTCTTGAACACACTGAGATGGAAGTGGCTTCAGTTAAAAGTTTCACTTTTCTCACAGCTAACAAACAGATGTGTGATTCTTTTGAGAGTTTGACCTTTTTTTTGTCTGCTTGCAGTGTTAAGTTAATTTCATTATTTGTTGGCCAATCTGGCAACTCAGATATTTTACATCTGAACTTTGCCTTCACAAATGTAATCATTAATCTTGAAGGCTGGGGGCTTATCAATGACCACTACTTCATTATTATTGTTCATCCTGTTTTCTAAGCTGGACTGATTGCCTGAGTTCCTTCCAATCAATTTCAACATCAGGCTCCTGTTTGATATAATTTATCAACATTCACCAAATAGACTTTGAGGGTTTAATTTTTACCCTAAAACAATAGCAGCCCTGCATATTTTTTAACTACACATTTATGCTACATTGCTTCTTTTAAAAACTCCCTCCCAAATAACGCCAAGTTTTAAACACTTCCCTAATAAGAAATACCTTTCTACTATTTTATGTTAACATGATTATAGGCAGATTTTTACATTATATAGGCCATGCATTTATTTGTGAATTTCTTGTGGATATAAAAAAAATTATTTTAGCTGCTGTAATAATCAGATGGAAAAAGAAAAGCCAAGCTAAATGGCTGCAGAGTTTCTTCCAGGCATCTCTTTCCCCCCCGAAAAAGTTTTACCGCCCCCCGAACGAAATGAAATTTATATAATTTATATAGAAAATATATACTTTTAACAGTGTCCGCCCCCCCCCCCCCCCGAAGAAAGTCTACCGCCCCCCCGAAAATTTCAAGTGCCTCCCCGGAGAAAAAAGTCTGGAAGAAACACTGAATGGCTGGAGAAGCATCCAGCACTCAAGGTGAGATGTTCTGAGAAGAGCTCTTCTAGGAAGGAGATAAAAATATAAAATGTGTCAATACATGTGTAGCAGAAACAACTCACCAGATGATGAATAGAATTATTGATACCAGGACGGTGGCACAGACGCTAGCAGCAATGATGATGGTGTTTTTATCAGCTTCCATGACTTGCACTAAAATTTAAACAAGTACCATAAACAAACACAAATGTTTATTGTTTACTAATTAGCATTAGCAATTAATAATGAGTAATCTTAAACAGAAAGATAAATGTAATGTAGTTTTATACAATGTTATGACGTAGGTACTTTATCATTTAACAAGGATTATACTGAAATCCTGGAACAGTGTTTCCGAATTTGGTGCAATTTTAAGTGCTCAGGGGGGAAATTTGCAATTTTAAAAAGAAAAAAATTAAAGTTTGTGTTTTCTGCTTATAATAGGCCTACTGGTATTTGTGCTTCAGCTGTTATATGAAAAGAAGTCGCTGCCTAAAACTGATGGAAGAATTTAGAAATATTTTTTTATCATTTTTGTTATTCCAAGAGAAAACCTTATAAATAAGGGCATTTCACTTCTTGTGAATGGCAGTTAGAAAATTTATCTGTGTTATTTAAGCAAGTGCCATTTGCGATCATCTTTTCAAGTAGTTTTTGAAGAACGAAATGATGACCATGTGAGTTCAAGGAACTCATTTAATCTAAATATGATGTTTAAATCTAATTACTATAAATTATAATAATATAGAAAATCTTTTTAAAAATCTTCTAAAATTATAATGCAATTACATTTAAATTCTCCTTATATATGCTGTAAAAATCTACTTAATGTGTTTGCCGAATAATTTACTAGTGAATTCTTTCTAAAACCATGTTTTTAGTGAAGTTTTTATCTTTTTTAATATTAAAAATAATGTTGGTGTGGTGAGGGTGGGGGGGGGGGGGGGGAGCAATATGAATTGTATACAGGCTTAGATGGGGCTTAGCTCTAAAAAATTGGGAAACAATGTCCTATAATATTATAACGTAAGTCTAACTTGCATGCCAATAATGTTTTACCAGGTTGAGTGACAGCAAATTGTTTGGTGACTGTCTTTGTCTGTGCGTACACTTCTACACATACAAACTTCACATCACTCTCTAATCGGATCTCTGCTCCAGAGAAAACATCGCTGCTAAATTTGCCAATATATTTCAGCTTTTCTGGAAAAAATATTTGAAAAAGTCTTTAACATCACAATTTTTTTTACTATTTTTAAAGTTAATATTTTAAGGTAATTTTAGAACTTATAAAAAATACAATGCAGTTTGGTTTCATCAATAATTTTAATTAAACATATTTTAATTTAATTTTACTAGAGGGTTTAATTAAAACCTGTTTTTTTATCCAGACATAAGGTCATTCCATTCATTAAGGTGTTTACTCTAACTGTGTAAAAATAAACATACACTGGTCCACTTCATCCAAATCTAACCAACAATAATTTATGTTTGGTCTGACTTTCAAAAAACACAATAAGTAACAGACATATAAACTATATAACGTACAATAATTTATATTTGGTCTGACTTCCAATACAGTACAATAGGTAACAGACATAACTTTACATGACTACAATACTTACTAGGATTGCTACATTCAGAGTCAGGGGAGGAATAGACCTGAAAATATTTGGCCAGTACTTGGTTTGGTGTTTTGTGACATTCTTGCGTTATTTTTAAACCATCAGGCTGTTGTATTATTGTCACATCTGTTGCTCCTGTTAAAGTTAAAATGATAAAGTTTATTATGAAAATATCTCCTCTGTCTGGCTAATAATAGAATAAATGATGCTCATCTTTTTACAAAACTTCATTGTAGTCTAAAAATAGTTTATCATTACAAAACACAAATCAAATTTCTTATACTCAAAATACAATTTACATGCACAGGCCCAGCATGATTCAGTCAATTGTAGGGGAGATCACTGTCATTCTTACAAAGATGAATTTATTATTTAACAATATTTTATTACTTAAAATAACTCAAGTAGATTATATAATATTTCACAAGAAATAATTGGATATTAAGTTAATTTCTAGAGATGCCAGGCACCACAAAAAAAAAACAACAAATGTTACATTCTTCATCAGCAATGAAAGTGAAATTTAAAGAAAAATGGCTTGAGGAAAGATGAAGTAATTTTAGATAATTTTGTATTTAGAAGTGACCTTCAAGAACAAGAGTATCCTACCTTTTTCTGAGTTGTAGTAGCAGTTTACAGGTGCCATTCCCATCCACACTTTATTGATCATGCTGGACACAAACACTTTTGTATTCTCCGTATCTTTCAAAATAAAACTATCTTCGACAAGATGATTAGTCAATACATCGGCTGTCGTGTTGAATCGTAAATTATTATTTTCCTCGAAATAATACTCTATTTGTGTTGAGTTTTTATATTCTTTTATTTCTGACTTTTGAAATAACGGAACTGTAAATGGTGTATTCGCAGTACAGCTTTTATTCTTCATGTTTATTACTTTTGTGAGAGGATAATTCTGTAGAAAAACAATATACATTTCTGGTAATTAAAGAATTAAATTTAATTCATGTGTTTAAAGAAAGATAAATAAACATGTATTTTTATGTAAAGTTAATTTTGGAACCATTAAATAAGTTATATTATTGGCTTGTTTTCAAATTATTTGAAATATTATCTCCATTAAACAGCAAGAGGTGTTTTTGTAATCTTCATTGACTGTTAAAGAACTACATTCAGCTGGAGTTACACACTATAGAGCATCTCAAAACTGTGATAATAGATGTGTAATAGATACCTCACAGTAACCAGTTCTTTACTACATTTTGGACAATGTTCAAAATAACAAAAAAAATCAGCAACAGTGGTCACAGGTAATACTGTGTTTTACCCAATTAGTATAACATAATGTAACAGTTATATAGCTCAGCTATTCTTATGTTATAGAACATTTGTAGAAGCCACCCTCTCATACAAACACATACACTACTATATGATCTAGTGCTACAACATGCTGGTATTTTAAAAAGTTGAAGTTACATCTGCATTAGAAACATAGCGAAAAGAAAGACAGTATAAACCAGTGGTAAAGGCTTATTCAAGCAATCATTCTACTGGGTACAGTGGAAGTTTTGATAAAAATTTAAAACAAAAAATTAAAATGCATTTTTAAAAAAAACCAGAATGGTGACTGACCTATCTTTATTCTTACCCCATTAATTAAACATTGCACAGTATCACTAATTACTGCAAATAGCAATAAAACAGAGTGATAAATAACCCCACTATTGCGAAATATACTAATTATAATTGTAATGTTCATAAAATTGAAGAAAGAACTTAATGAAATTTCAGTAGATTATGAGGCCTTTCTGATTCATTTAAACTGTTCTCTCACTTTTAGACATAAAGCGATAATGTTCTGAGCTACCTTAAATCAAATCACTTAACCCAATAACTTCATTTGCTTACTACACATATATACTCATGTGTGAAATACTGATTTATTTAATCATCACACTTACAAAGCATATATATGTATTCTTCTTCTTGTGTGAAATACTGATTTATTTAATTATTACACTTATAAAACATAAGTATGTATTATGTATTCTTGTGTGAAATACTGCTTTATTTAATTATTACACTTACCACACAAATGTATTCTTGTGGCAAATGTTGACTTTTCCCAGCCTCACAAACATGAATGGCAATATTCTCCACATTTTGGAGATCTTGACATTGGTAGTACACATTAGCATACCCATCTTTTAAAAACTCCACAGCTGTTAGGGGGGCTTCAAATCCTGAAGACAAAGAACTAGTGAACTGGTGCACTGTATGTGTTAAGGTTGCCTTGTTTTGTTTTTAATTGTTTAATTCTAAACTGTGTACATTTTAACTTACTAAGGCTTAAAAAAATATTTTTCATATGTTAGTTAGATAAACTGTAGATAAAATTATATGTGATATTTTAAACTGCTAATAAATAACTTTTCATTAGGGCCTAACTAATAACAAAAAATAACTTAATAAAGTAGCCTAACTAATACTATTACTACCTACTACCTACTAAATCAAAATCTACTAAAATTAAAATACTAATCATTAGTTAATTAATCTAGATCTAGTTGTAGGAAGATGACAGCAATACAAGGGCAATAATAACAGTAAACTTTAACACAAGGAAAAAAAACCGGTAAGCTCCCTTAACTAAAGCCTTCCTACCTCCCACAGCAGAAAATAGATTTACCTTTCAATGAAGGTATAACAATGTGTGAATAGTTTGCTGATCTGCCTTTTTCATTCAAAGTCCATATTTTCACATCCAGTGATTCTGAGTCATTGTGGTAGTCTAGCAGTTTAAAATTTTCTGATGTGTTAGTTGTGTTTTTCCAGTTTCCTGTGTCAATGGTGATGTCATAGTAAAGCTGTCTTCCTCCTAAAGTCTCATTTGAGACAGGCTGCACAACAGAAATAAAACAGACAGTTTAAAATATAAGCTAAATATTTGCTAGACAATAAATACTACCTTAAGCCTAACAGTGATAGAATTTTTTAAAAAATGTATACAGGTAGATCTAGGTAATTAGATAAAACAATGATTACTTTAGTAATTAGTAATTACAAAAAAAAATTATATAAAATGTTGATCTAAACTAAAATTTAACAGTATAACATATAGATCTATCTATATATTTAAAATAGCAAGCAAAACCAAAAAATAAATGTGTCACCTTCCATATAAAGTAAATTGTGTAGTTTGATCTAAAAAAGTTGAAATTTTCAATCTTAGCTGGGCTGCGGGGTACTGAAATAACAGTTTGTTTTTTTCAGGTCAAGCTAATATTAATAAATGGTCAATTTTGTGTCAGAAGTAAAAAATAACTCAAAAATAGAGTAGCCTATTCTAGGTAGGAAAAAATATAAAAATGTTGTTACAAGGTAGGAAATACATAATGTATCGAAAGTAGATAAAAAGTCATAAATTTAGTTTAGGAAGTATTGATAAAGTAAATATATCTATGTGAGCAGCTCTAAGCTTATGTGGCCAACTTTATAGACCAAAGTAATACAATGTACTTCTCTACTTGACTGGTGATCATGCAGGGATTTATTAGACACTTCACAAGATGCCTTGGACAGTTTTAGGTTTACTTAGTTATCTGACCAGGCTGTTATTGGCTACCTGACCAGGCAGTTATTGGCTACCTGACTAGCTGACCAGGGGAGTTATTGGCTACCTGACTAGCTGACCAGGGGAGTTATTGGCTAACTGACTAGCTGACCAGGGCAGTTATTGGCTAGCGGACCAGGGCAGTTATTGGCTACCTGACTAGCTGACCAGGGCAGTTATTGGCTACCTGGCTAGCTGACCAGGCAGTTATTGGCTACCTGACCACGGCAGTTATTGGCTACCTGGCTAGCTGACCAAGGCAGTTATTGGCTACCTGACTAGCTGACCAGGGCAGTTATTGGCTACCTGACTAGCTGACCAGGGCAGTTATTGGCTACCTGACTAGCTGACCAGGGCAGTTATTGGCTACCTGGCTAGCTGACCAAGGCAGTTATTGGCTACCTGACTAGCTGACCAGGGCATTTATTGGCTACTTGGCTAGCTGACCAAGGCAGTTATTGGCTACCCAACTAGCTGACCAGGGCAGTTATTGGCTACCTGACTAGCTGACCAGGGCAGTTATTGGCTACCTGACCAAGGCAGTTATTGGCTACCTGACTAGCTGACCAGGGCAGTTATTGGCTACCTGACCAGGGCAGTTATTGGCTACCTGGCTAGCTGACCAGGGCAGTTATTGGCTACCTGAACAAACCTGAATGGGTATTTTGTAAATTGAGCAACAAAACTATTGAAGAATGTCTCTCATACCACGATCATTCTCTGACTTATGATAATTTCTCATTGTGAGCATACCTTATATCTAAGCTAGAGTTCTGATTTCACCAATGACATATATTTTTAGTAGGCTTATGCAATCTAACAACAAAATGAGTGTTTTTTACATTCAATGATAGCAATGAGCCTAAACTTAATCTAATAATGAGATCCCTACTGATAACTTTCTATATAATAAAACTAAAATCTTAAAGTTTACCTGACATCTTTGTAGCAAAGTTTTGGGAAGAGATGTTCCCCTCCCCTCCTCCACCTATACCAGAAACAGTGACGGTGTAATTTGTGAATGGTTCCAAATTTTTGAACTGAACATAAACAGAAGCTTGATCTAGGTTATCTGGAGGTTTTCCTGCCTGAATTACAAACTAAAACAAAACAAATGCCAATCAGTGCTAGAATAGACAACTGAAGTAATAGATGAATGTTAAAACATTTTTTATCAATCTTATTTTCCTGAACTAAAAGCCCATAATGATGTTAGAATTTGCAAAGAGAAAAAAAAAACAATAATTTATTATTTTAACATGTGCTTTCTTTTCACATGAAAAAGTTGTTAAATTTATATAACACAACTTATTCACGTTTACAGTCCCAATTAAAAAAAAAACAACAACACATAAACATAAAATGTTAAAATTTTTTAAATAATAAAAATACTGTGCAGACAACTAGAAAGCATGTAAGATATAAATTCAAGTTACCGTAAGCTTATAATTAGTCCCATTATTTTTCACAAGAACTACACTATAGTTCAACGGCTTTCCAGCCTGATCCATATATCCCATCAGTTCTATCAGGGGACGAGAGGGTTCAAACTTCAAAACAGCGCTGGTCTGTGTTTTGTTACTGACCTTCATCCCTCTAACATTACCTGGGACAACTAAAGACAGACAGAAACATTAGGGATAGGAATACCAAGATCTGAATTTTGTTATAATTATTTTAAATAGTTACTTTTGTATTGCTAGTCCTTGTGTAAATCTCAGGTTAGTTATGTAATTTACAGTAATATAAATTGAAATAAATCACTTTTGGCCATTAGATAAACAAGCCAACAAAATATATTTTCTATAAACAAATCTTACTTACCTTGTCTACTTAGCTTGTAAAATTCTATGACACTGTTACTCTCTATCACTCTAGTAACATTGATAACAATTCTGATGTCCTGAGTGAGAAATGTTTTTAATTTGATTGTACACTTGCAGGTGAAGTTGTTAGCACTTGATGCTTCCGAACAATTGGTTAAACAAACATTGTAGGTCTTTTCTCTGAAAGACAACAAACATTGTAGGTCTTTTCTCTGAAAGACAACATACATTGTAGGTCTTCTCACTGAAAGACAACATACATTGTAGGTCTTCTCACTGAAAGACAACATTGTAGGTCTTCTCGCTCAAAGACAACATTGTAGGTCTTCTCACTGAAAGACAACAAACATTGTAGGTCTTCTCACTGAAAGACAACATACATTGTAGGTCTTCTCACTGAAAGACAACAAACATTGTAGGTCTTCTCACTGAAAGACAACAAACATTGTAGGTCTTCTCACTGAAAGACAACAAACATTGTAGGTCTTCTCACTGAAAGACAACAAACATTGTAGGTCTTCTCACTGAAAGACAACAAACATTGTAGGTCTTCTCACTGAAAGACAACATTGTAGGTCTTCTCACTGAAAGACAACATTGTAGGTCTTCTCACTGAAAGACAACAAACATTGTAGGTCTTCTCACTGAAAGACAACAAACATTGTAGGTCTTCTCACTGAAAGACAACATTGTAGGTCTTCTCACTGAAAGACAACATTGTAGGTCTTCTCACTGAAAGACAACAAACATTGTAGGTCTTCTCACTGAAAGACAACAAACATTGTAGGTCTTCTCACTGAAAGACAACATTGTAGGTCTTCTCACTGAAAGACAACAAACATTGTAGGTCTTCTCATTGAAAGACAACAAACATTGTAGGTCTTCTCACTGAAAGACAACAAACATTGTAGGTCTTCTCACTGAAAGACAACATTGTAGGTCTTCTCACTGAAAGACAACATACATTGTAGGTCTTCTCACTGAAAGACAACATACATTGTAGGTCTTCTCACTGAAAGACAACATACATTGTAGGTCTTCTCACTGAAAGACAACATACATTGTAGGTCTTCTCACTGAAAGACAACATACATTGTAGGTCTTCTCACTGAAAGACAACATACATTGTAGGTCTTCTCACTGAAAGACAACATACATTGTAGGTCTTCTCACTGAAAGACAACACAAACATTGTAGGTCTTCTCACTGAAAGACAACATACATTGTAGGTCTTCTCACTGAAAGACAACATTGTAGGTCTTCTCACTGAAAGACAACAAACATTGTAGGTCTTCTCACTGAAAGACAACATACATTGTAGGTCTTCTCACTGAAAGACAACATTGTAGGTCTTCTCACTGAAAGACAACAAACATTGTAGGTCTTCTCACTGAAAGACAACATTGTAGGTCTTCTCACTGAAAGACAACATTGTAGGTCTTCTCACTGAAAGACAACAAACATTGTAGGTCTTCTCACTGAAAGACAACATACATTGTAGGTCTTCTCACTGAAAGACAACATACATTGTAGGTCTTCTCACTGAAAGACAACATACATTGTAGGTCTTCTCACTGAAAGACAACATACATTGTAGGTCTTCTCACTGAAAGACAACATACATTGTAGGTCTTCTCACTGAAAGACAACATACATTGTAGGTCTTCTCACTGAAAGACAACATACATTGTAGGTCTTCTCACTGAAAGACAACACAAACATTGTAGGTCTTCTCACTGAAAGACAACATACATTGTAGGTCTTCTCACTGAAAGACAACATTGTAGGTCTTCTCACTGAAAGACAACAAACATTGTAGGTCTTCTCACTGAAAGACAACATACATTGTAGGTCTTCTCACTGAAAGACAACACAAACATTGTAGGTCTTTACAACAAACATTGTAGGTCTTCTCACTGAAAGACAACAAACATTGTAGGTCTTCTCATTGAAAGACAACAAACATTGTAGGTCTTCTCACTGAAAGACAACAAACATATTAGGTCAACAGTTGAATCTACAATTTGCATTACATGGTATATCCATGTATTACATGGTATATCCATGTAATAGGTAATCATGTTGAGAGCTGTGATTCACTCACCCATTCTAAAAACAGAAACTTTAGCAACATTAAGAATAAAAGAAATTAGAGTCACAGTTACATAACATTTTTATACCTCTGCATTGTAAACCGATAAGCCACTGTGACTCATTTATACTTTAATTCTTTAGTAAAACTACTATTACTGTTATTTTGTTGTTGTGTAAAGGGGTAGTATTACCTCTGGTATTCTTGTCTAGCCAAAAAAACATGAAACTCATCAGCAAAAAGAGTACTCGTGTTCACTTGAAAATAGATCTCAACTGATTTGTTTTCATAATATTTGATGTCTGATATAACTGGCTTGGCTGGTTTGTCTGTATTCATGTATAGAGATAAATAAGACAAATATTAGTAGACATGCTTCATATAGAGCAAATATGGATAATTTTTTTCTCAAAGCAGGTATTTCTTATTTTACAATATGTGTGAAAAGAACTGCCTTACATGGTCTTGAATGTTAATTATGGGGTTATGTTAAGATGATGCCACACTCCTGAAAAGGTGTGTGTGTGGGGGAGGGGGGGAAGGAGGGCTGGTTCTGTTTTGTGGCCATGTGATGAGGTTCAGAATGTGTGACATCATGCGATGGCACTTAAAATACATTTATTTTAAAATGGAATTTTTGCATATCTTTTGTGCTAATAAAATTTTTTGAAAAATTGTCATAAAAAATGATCAATATCAGTGGCGTAGCTAGGGGAGGGCGGTTGGGGTAACCCCCCCCCCCCCACCCCCCTTCCCCGGGCACTGACCCTAAGGGGCAGCCAAAAGGGGTAGAAAATTAATTTTAAAGTTTTTTAAAATTTATTTATAAGCTGTTTTGAAGCTGACGTATTGAAATATACACAATACAATATTGCAAAGTGGTGGGGATTGTAAGGCTGAAGTGTGACATTATTTTATGAGCATCTGATGGTTTGGACAAGGCTGAAGTGTGACATTATTTAAGGAGCGTCTGATAGTTTGGACAAGGCTGAAGTGTGACATTATTTTATGAGCATCTGATAGTTTGGACAAGGCTAAAGTGTGACATTATTTTATGAGCATCTGATAGTTTGGACAAGGCTGAAGTGTGACATTATTTTATGAGCATCTGATAGTTTGGACAAGGCTGAAGTGTGACATTATTTTATGAGCATCTGATAGTTTGGACAAGGCTGAAGTGTGACATTATTTTATGAGCATCTGATAGTTTGGACAAGGCTGAAGTGTGACATTATTTTATGAGCATCTGATAGTTTGGACAATACCTGAAGATATAGAGGAAGGAGTTAACATTCTTTAATAAGCTTATTGTCATTTATGGCAAGCTTTTATAAATAGGCACTAAAAAAGAGGATATTATAAAAAATGATGCATTACTATTTCCTTAGTCTAAAGTAAAGTTTTTCTCTTAAATTTTTCTTCAATCTGCCATTTCATTAAAACTTTTAGAAACTTAAACTTTTGGTAAACAGAAAGATTAGTGGGTCTATGTAGACATACTGTTAATATAGTTTTTTTAAGTTAAAAAAATGAAATCATGCAATTTGTAACAAAGATAGTTAATAAGGAATTGCTCTAGGTCAGTGGTTCTTAAACTGAGTTTTTTGAACCCCAAGGATTCAGTGAGTCAGTCTCAGGTGTTGGGCAGAGGTCAAGACCAACACCTGACTCATATGATTCACCATTTGATTGGTCAGTGCAGATAATAGAGCTTTTAAAATGAAACTGGTGGGGTTCCGTTCCTCCAAAAATGTTAAGAACCACTGGCTCATGATAGACTCAATAAGGAGTTTGGGTACTTTAGCATAATGTTTTAAAAGATGTACCTATAAAATGCATATTTTCCCCAGCCAGTTTATATTTATTTTTATAACAACTGACGACCATAGTGCTTGCAGCTGTGCTGTTTACTGTGAGTTGTGTTTTACAGGGTCCAAGTGAGAGGTTGTACCAGCTTGGTTCGGGAACTTGTTCTGTTTCTGGCTTCAATTCAAAGTAAAGCTGATCATTCTCAGTTGTCCTTTTACACTCTTCTTTTTCTAGAATGCAACAAACTGTCGATTCTGTATTTACTTTATAATTGAAGCCTTTGTTGGTACCATCACACTCCAGAATATCTGCATGTATAATTAATAATTAGATAATCAAATCAATTAAAATATATTTGTATGTGTTTTGGCAATCTACAACATTATGTGTAAAGTGTAAAGTATTTTACAATAGTAATCAAATGTTGATAAACACTAAACATCTGAGTATAGGCCTAGATCTAATTATTATCACTTTTTAATTTTGTAATTGACCAACAGCAGGCAGGTTATTTTTCTCTTTAATAAGGCTAACTATATTAACCCTTTTTAAGGGCTGTAAATAAATGGTGTCATATGATGTTTACACCAAACCGGGTGGATTGGAGACTGGCTGTGTAACACTTCTTAGACAGAAGTCAAGTCTAACACTCTTCACTCTTCCTTCAATTCAGACAATGTAGTCTACTCATTCTGTTACTAGACTGTTACTCTACATTCACCCACTACTTAGTTAATACTTATTTTTACTTAGTACTCATTATCATTATACTGTAATAGTAATATAGTTAGTTACTTATACTTAGTTTTTCTTCCAGACTTTTTTCTCCGGGGGGGGGGGGGGGGAAGAGATGCCTGGAAGAAACTCTGTACTGTACTTACTTACTTACTACTTACACTTAGTAGTTAGGCTTAGTAGTAATAGTTTATTATTTTAATATTTAATTTGTTAGGCCTATGCATCACAAATTTTCAAATTTCCATCGATTTCTAAGAAAATCCACAAGTTTAATGAAAACAAGATGTTTTTCTTTCTGTTTGACCCCAAAATCTATTCTAGGCCGATTCTCGTAAATAAGTAGTTTACTAATTATTAAGTAGATCTAGGACTAGGACTCTAGGACTAACTACTTGACACGCCTTTCATTCATAAAGCTGTAACCGTGGTAACTAAAATGTGTGTGAGTTTTTACTTCCGGGTTGAATAGGAAGTATTTTAAAACTGTTCACTAAGAAAGGGAAGTGATAGATGACTGAGACGAGAGGGAAGTGATTCTAGGTTTGCTTATTTTTTATTTAATTATATTTATTAATAATTAATTTAAAAAAAAAAAAACTACACCCCTCCTCCTAGAAAGAAACTCTGGTAGCCTATAGGCTTATGCCGACGAACACCACTCTCGATACCGGGAAGTCATGGGGGTTATAACCCCCTGTCCCCCTCCATGCCCCGCTCCCTGTCCCCCTCCCTACACAGCCGCCCTACACCCACTCAGCAGAGTCGTACACCCTCCACTTTTGACCTTAATTGAACCCTCTTCCAAACTATAAGCCCTCGGGGATTTTTCATGTATGCGTCATTTTCCGGTATCTCCGGAAAAAGTCGAAGCCACACGAAGATTTTGAGACTGAGGTACACTTAGAACTCCTAAATAGAAAGTAAATAATTTCATAAATCAGAAAAAGTGGGCAAGTGTTTGTATGGGTGTAGGTCTCTGAAGGTTAAAGAAATTGTGTACATATTATATGACACGTGAGACAAGTGGGTCGGTGATTTTTAACGTTATTATTATATTGTATAATGTGTTGGTGGGGGGCATCACTCCCTAACACAACACCCCATGCACACGCCATTAGTTAGTGATATGGATCGACACAACAATGTTGGTATAAACATAGATATAATTAAAGTTGATGTGATTTCCATAATTGATTCAAAATAAAAATTTTAGTACCGTATGGTGTCGTGGTTTTGGGGGTGGGGTGGTTTCTAGAAATGTTATATAATATGAGGCGTAATGGCATATGGAAAAATATTTTAACTTTACATTGGACATTATGTGAGTCAGACACGTCACGTTTTTGTGTTACAACATACGCGCACATACCCGTAGAATGCCCTAATTCCCTATTTTTAAAAATTGCCCTATTATCTTTAGAGCATGGCAGAAAAATTCTCAACCATAGTTTAAAACTAGCCAACACCTTTGCCGCATGGCACGCATTTTTTTTCAGCAAATATTTGTTTAAGTACTATTCCTTTAAGCCGTGCTTTTCCCCTCGTTAATCTCAGCGTGCTTGATTCGTCCCTACCCCATCGTGGAATCATCATACCGGATGTTGGGAGCTACATAGGGCATCAGGTAAACAGTGTACATGCTACACAAAGTGAAATATGATTTCAAACTGGTTGTGAAATTGGAATCTCAAATCTATGTCATGTGAATGTGACTTGAACACATTAATTCAATGCACATTGGATTTGAAGCTAAAGATTTTTGATACATAACTTTCAAATGCAAGACGCATCTGACCTTGAAGCTCATTACCTAAACGCACATGACATTGACGTATATGACCTACACGCACATGACATTGACGTATATGACCTACACGCACATGACATTGACGTATATGACCTACACGCACATGCCATTGACGTATATGACCTACACGCACATGACATTGACGTATATGACCTACACGCACATGACATTGACGTATATGACCAACACGCACTTGACATTGACGTATATGACCTACACGCACATGACATTGACGTATATGACCTACACGCACATGACCTTAGCGCACACGATCAGGACGCACACGACATGAATGAGTATGACAGTTATGTTATCACCTGCGAGTTAAAACTAATATGCCCGTGTCTTTAGTTCCACTTCCGGTTATCGGAAATCGTTGAAAAGTTGATACAGAGCTACAAATTGGATATACTTATATATGAAATTTCATCAATCTAGCTGTAACGGTACTCAAGTTATCGTGTTCGCAGACACACACACACATACACACACAGACTTGCAGACAAAATTGCGAAACTATGTTTTTCCGACTTAGGGTGGTGTAAAGCTCTCGAAACTAAAGCATACACATGTATTTCAGTCCTTAATAAGAAAGTAAGCCTATATGATCGGACGGTAACGCCAAACTGCCATGCCATAAGTCAAAAGTAGACACATGTAGAGAACATAGGCCTAGATAAAACAGAAAAGTTTAAAACGCTTCTTCCGCGTACAATCTATGTACAACCAAGAACGCCAATTTTTATGAGCATTTATTTAGTTTACAATGTCTGTGTGTTTTTCCCCTGTCTTTTGTATGACTACACCCTTTGACGTAGAAAGAACACGTCTATAAATATTGTTATTTCAGTTACGACGCCTGCATCCTATTATTTTCGTGTTATCCCGTAACTCTACTGCATCTACTCTATTGACCTCCTAGTCCGTGAGGTAACTTAGAAGAGAATCTGGAAGCTTGCTCAACTAAACCTATTTGAACCTACAACCTATCTATGTACAGATAGAGGTTTAAACCTACAGACCCACCTGCAAAAAATAGACTTGATTCTGTGACGATCCAGCTAAGTAAAGCAAGCAGCAGAAGTTGGAGCACCCATCCCTCCATGGTTAACGCTTCCTTCTCTGACCAGGTGATTAAATCAGTTCTGGAGGGGAGGTCTTGGAGGTGGGAACCAGACGCGTGACGTCATCCTTTCGTCCTCATCTCAAATGTAAACAAGAAAAAAAGCCGTGAAATTCTGGAAAACGTTCGTTATATACTCCGTTAAAAGCGCAGGATAAGAAGCCGTGAAATTCTAGAAAACGTTCGTTATATACTCCGTTAAAAGCGCAGGAAAAAAATAATTTGGGTGGGCCATATATTTGTGAAAACGCGAGTAAATAAATCAGGTCAATTGATGCCCCCGACCGTGAGTTTATTCGGCAGACTGTGAGCAGTCTCACGCGTGTTGACTCGTCTATTGCGTGAGTCTCAAACTATAGTCAAGGTGATTTTTTTTCCAGATTGAGGTTAATGGGAGGGGCTTGTAGGTCAAGGGGAGGGGTCTGTATATACGCAATTTCTTACCGGAAAGTTCGTTTCCAGAAATCCAAGTTTCTTCGGAATTTTATAAGGTAGGACTTTACTTGGAAAGTTAAACTGAAAAGTTCATTTGAAAATCACAAGGAAAAACTCAAATGTAGAAGTCTTTATTTTTACCACTCATATCTTGGTATAAGAAAAAAAACAACGCAAAATTAATTAGCATTGGCCTACCTTACCATGTACTTAAACATTCCATAAAATAGAAATAGGCAAGAACCTCTCCAATTCATACGTTAATAGTTAGCGCCATTTAAATTAATATTTTGTCTTCATCAATCACTTGCCCCATAATGTTTTTCAAAAAATATTTTTAACTCGATTTTTAAATGTGTTTGAATAACACTTTTTCAAATCAACAAAACCGGTAATGAAAATCCAATATCGCTATCAGTATTCAGGAAGTTAAAACTGGAGCTCAATATCTGTTCCTAGTTAAACATGGTCTCAGATTCTTGTGAGTCAACATGACTAATCTTCCATTATTTCATTATTAATTATTAAAATCATTAATTACATTAAGCTCAATGATATTTCGTACGTCACAATTTTCGTAACCTCCGAGCATTCATACTTCTGTAACTTGGGAAATCAATTGATCGTTATTTGTATTCAATGCACTTCTAATTAAATTTCTTCCGTTGAATAATAATTCTGTCGACCCTTGTCGAATTGTATTACTTTTTTGTATTTTAATTATAAATTAACGAGCCGACCCGCTGCGTATCATACGCCGCTATTTAGTTGTTGTTTTTTCTACTTTTCAGTAATTTATAATTTGTGAATTCGACAGTACCAATGCTGCCACTGAAAATATTTGCTTAAAAACACTAACCCCCCCCCCCCCCCCCCACGTGAAAGCAGCCTACTCTTAGTTACCTCCTCTAAGTTTAAAATTGTTTCAAACTAAATTATCTGCCCCTAATAGCGTCACCAAACCCGTCTCTATGATTGTAAAATGTAAACAGCGTGAACCACAGCTCACCAGACCATGTGAGGGGGTGGGGGTGGGGGTGGGGGGGGGTGGTAGCGATAGAGAGGAAGAGAGGGGACTGTAATGCGCGCTTGCAGCTTGTTTTCTAACGGCTCCCAGAAGAGAATTATATATATAGATTTTTGAGTGATAATTCGCGTTAAGAAAAAAAAATGCATTGTTTACTTCTCTTTGCCTAAGTCGATGCACAGAGCAAGGATGCGAGACAGAGGGGAAAATTGGGATATTAGTCCCGTTGAGAGGTTGGTTGGTCCACAGCTAATAGAAAACCCAGTGGAGCAATGTGATGGTCAAGTTTTATTTGATGGTGGAGTAAAAAATGGTGTTAACTTACCAATAATGTCCTTTATATACAGAAGGTGTAAGTCCGGAATGCAAAAGTTCATTGATGACTGTTTGTCCTTCCATCCCAAACAGCACGGACTGTCATGAAAGTCTTTTAAAAATAAGTGGGTGCTAACAGAGTGAACCAGAATAAAAACATGGGGGTGTTCTCTTCTCTGTGCTAAACGACGTTCGGCTATTAGGATGAGTTGACAATATGATGGTGTCTTTTTGTCAACTGTCTGTTGGTCAGCTGATGATGTCTGTTGGTCAACTGATGGCGTCTGTTGGCCAATTTATGGTGTCCTTTGGCCAATTGATGGTGTCTGTTGGTTAGCTGATGGTGTTTGTTGACCAACTGTTGTTGTATGTTGGTCAACTGATGCTCCACTACTAGACTGTGTTGGTCAACTGATGGTGTCTGTTGACCAGCTGATGGTGTCTGTTGGTCAGCTGATGGTGTTTGTTGACCAACTGTTGTTGTATGTTGGTCAACTGATGCTCCACTACTAGACTGTGTTGGTCAACTGATGGTGACCTTTGATCTATTGATGGTGTGTGTTGGTCAATTGTTACTCAACTTGCAGGTTCTGCTGACCAACTGCTCTAGTATATGACACTAGTCACTACAACAAGAAGATAAAGATACGTGTAAGCTGATAGTTTATTTCACATGTGTCAGGTTCACGCTATTTGTATAGTGTTTATTAATTGCGTTTTGGCTATACGTTATTTTTTAAAGTATATGTCTGTATATAAGTAAAATTATGTATGATTTCATCATTCATCGGGCTTTAAAGATTTAAATGATTTCCTCACTGTGGAAGAATTGTGTATTTTTGTAAATGATATAGCTTTTTATCAATACATCAACGCTTACGTTATATCTCACTACAGTGTATTTTTATCACAAACTTCTATAAATGATGTTTAATGCGATGATGTAGCTAATAGCCTTCGATAGAAGTTTATTTTTGTATTTAAACGTATTGAAAGTATGATCCATTAGGCATAAAAACGAGACATCAAGAAAAAGTGTGTTTATATATATACTAGGCATGCTGCCCAGCTTTGCTTAGGCTTTCGAAAATATTGAGAATTTGAATGCTTAATTAATTCGCCCGAGGGTCGGTCTACAACCTCAGGAGTTATGAAGAGGTTCCTCCGTGGACATTTTTTTTCGATTTATAGCTCATATAAGGCGCCGGTCAGTCGAGGTCAGTTTTGACCCCATCATCGTAGACTTTTCGGCCAACCGGCCCCCGTGTTCTGTCGCCCCAAGGCAAGATCCTGCCGAATTTGAAGCGCCTGCGGCGCCGGGAAGTGCCCTATCGGGCACCCGACAACTTTGCTTTATATATTATAGAGATTAGCAAATTGCATTGATAAACAAAGATTTCAATAAAGTCAGGCCTGAAATACTTTAGTATAGAAATGTATTATTTGAATAGATGAATCTAGAATATCTAGATCTAGAATCCAAATAAATAAAATAAATTTTATGAGTTTAGGCCGGAAAAATTGTATCGTATACATTTTATAGTGTACGTAGATCTAGATATAGATCTAAATCAAATTTGAATGAAATAGTTCATTTCTTTTTATTCTAAACACGGCAGATGACGTCATTAGTTAATGTATAAGCAATAGTGACGTCACAGTTTTATGCGTTCTTTTTCACATTTATTAATGCTTTTCCGGTTGCATAAATAATACTGTTTCTCTACATTCGAATACGCCTTTATTTTTTATTTTTCTTCTTTAAACAAAATTGTGGTTATACATTTAAAACATCTAACATATTATTTTCAACAAAAGTCCGTATAAAGCTCTCCATATACCGCTGCCGTTTCTGACGTGATGTCCGGCGAAAAAATTTTGCGGACAGAGAGAGAGGGAGAGAGAGAGAGGTGCGAACGTGGGGTTTTATATATTAGGATATATATATATATATATATATATATATATATATATATATATATATATATATATATATATATATATATATATATATATATATACATATAATGTATGTATGTGTGTTTGTGTGTGTGAAGATAACCTACGATGCATTAAACAGTAATCATACTGGTACTCATTTTCCCAGAAAAAAACTACTCGTTTGAAAATATTATTTGAGGAAGAGAATCAAGGGAGTTTATCTGCGTGGGAAGAAAGATAACTACGTTTTTTTCCTCTCAATAAGCCGTTGTTCTGACCCTTGCCATATGTTATTAAACATTTGATGATATTTACGCAAGGGAGCGAACTCTCCGGGGAGTCGTTGACCTTACATACCGTTGAAGTGTGTATAGAAAAAAATAATTTTATAAAATTTAAAAAAAAAACCCAAAAATTGGTTTTTTACTGTTCATGTGTTTACGACACTTAGACCCTACTCGTTAACTATTTTTAAATTAAATAAATCAATTTTTTATCTTTTAAATAAAAACAAAATTAAGGAAATAAAAAAGACAAAAACTTCTACAAAAATGGCAAATTTCTTTTTCAATGTCTCAAAAGTTCTTATTCCACATTTCTACTTTTCATTATAACTTTTTTTTTCTACTAATTAAAGTACGCAAAAGTACGGAAATGTATTTCGCTCCCTAATAGACCTAGACGTATATGCGCCGCTCTTGTGGGAAGTTACGAAACACCACTGAAGTGTTTACGTTTGAGTAAAGTTCAAAGGTCAACACACTAGACCACCTTAAACGATTTGACCTTTTCTGTCCCTAATCTGATCATGCGCACTATTGGCCATTCCGACTTGACGACGCTTCTGTTTAGTTTTAAATGGCGATTGAGTTGCTGAAAAAACAAACAGATTTCGCTGTAAACATTTTCGGTGATGACACGTGCATGCGACCTTGACCTTTAGCAGGGTCACATAGATCTGACGCAGGGGTCCTTCATGAATGACGTCATGAGCTGCACTAGGAGGATAAGTGGGGGGTTCCAGACTTATGCTAAATGAGGGAATGGATGATTTAAGAAATGTGGCGTGTATACAATCAGGTAACGACTCACACTCACAGCTAGATCTTTTAACGACTCACAGCTAGATCTTTTAACAATCCACAGTTAGATCGCTATGGACTAGCTTCACACAACTAAATCTATAAGGACAAGTGAAAAACAGCTCAGTTTTTAAGGACTATCGACGCGAAACTAAATTCACACTTTTTTTTTAAAACCATCTTAGAGTCCGCACAAAACGAATATATATATATATATATATATATATATATATATATATATATATATATATATATATATATATATATATATATATATATATATATATGTATATTCATGTAATCTTTTAAAATAAATATTTATGTATATATTTATATAATAAAAAAAGGAAATACCCTCGACGCTTTTATATGATAGGAATTATAATTGTCTTCTTATTTCTTAGCCGAATTATTATATAGTACCTGTCCACATCACTCTCGCTAGACCACCGTCTAACTTTAACAGGCACATATTTTATCTGTCCACATACATACACCAGTTTAACAGACACATATGTTACCTGTCCACATACAACACAGTCTCTTTCTAAACAGGTCCATATAATTTCACGATATCAACACTTCCAAAGTCTATCCATATTTTCTACAGCAGAATGTAATACGAATTTCTTCTTGAACAATTCAGTTCACACATACGACCAAAATTCTGCAGCGGTTTAACTTGTTTACTGTATATACGAAACCAAAAAAGTGTGATGAATGTGCAACACCCTTTACTCAAGTCTTTATTTTGATCTAGCCGTAGATTAGCTTATGGATCATGTTCCACTTACAAGATAAAGATACATGGCCATGCTATAGAATTCAGAATAAAAAATAACAGAATGTTGTTTAAATAGGGAATACCGAAACAGGGCTCTCAACGTCACTGTCATTTCGTTCCACAGAGAGATTGCGGTTCTATAGAGCATGTTTAAAACTTAATAGAACAGCTCGTTGGACCGTAGAGAAGCAGACACCACCCCTAGCGTGGCAGACAAATACTGAACAACGTTGCAAGATGTATTAGCCTGCAACGTGATACTTTATGCTGCATAAAATGGTCAGTCGTGCGTGGTAAGATGCATGGATGCAACAGGACACTCTTTGTTCGTGATGTAGTGGTTGTGATGGTTGTGACACGTTGGTTGTGATGGTTGTGATGGATGTGATACAATGGTTGTGACACAGTGGTTGTGATGGTTGTGACAGGGTGGTTGTGATGGTTGTGATGGTTGTGACACGGTGGTTGTGATGGTTGTAACACGGTGGTTGTGATGGTTGTAACACGGTGGTTGTGATGGTTGTGACACGGTGGTTGTGACAGTGTGGTTGTGATGGTTGTGATGGTTGTGACACGGTGGTTGTGACAGTGTGGTTGTGATGGTTGTGATGGTTGTGACACGGTGGTTGTGACAGTGTGGTTGTGATGGTTGTTATGGTTGTGACACACGGGTTTTGACACGGTGGTTGTGACAGTGTGGTTGTGATGGTTGTGATGGTTGTGACACGGTGGTTGTGACAGTGTGGTTGTGATGGTTGTTATGGTTGTGACACACGGGTTTTGACACGGTGGTTGTGACAGTGTGGTTGTGATGGTTGTGATGGTTGTGACACGGTGGTTGTGACAGTGTGGTTGTGATGGTTGTTATGGTTGTGACACACGGGTTTTGACACGGTGGTTGTGACAGTGTGGTTGTGATGGTTGTGATGGTTGTGACACGGTGGTTGTGACAGTGTGGTTGTGATGGTTGTTATGGTTGTGACACACGGGTTTTGACACGGTGGTTGTGACAGTGTGGTTGTGATGGTTGTTATGGTTGTGACACACGGGTTTTGACACGGTGGTTGTGACAGTGTGGTTGTGATGGTTGTTATGGTTGTGACACACGGGTTTTGACACGCTGGTTGTGACAGTGTGGTTGTGATGGTTGTTATGGTTGTGACACACGGGTTTTGACACGGTGGTTGTGACAGTGTGGTTGTGATGGTTGTTATGGTTGTGACACACGGGTTTTGACACGGTGGTTGTGACAGTGTGGTTGTGATGGTTGTTATGGTTGTGACACACAGGTTTTGACACGGTGGTTGTGACAGTGTGGTTGTGATGGTTGTTATGGTTGTGACACACGGGTTTTGACACGGTGGTTGTGACAGTGTGGTTGTGATGGTTGTTATGGTTGTGACACACGGGTTGTGACACGGTGGTTGTGACAGTGTGGTTGTTATGGTTGTGACACACGGGTTTTGACACGGTGGTTGTGACAGTGTGGTTGTGATGGTTGTTATGGTTGTGACACACGGGTTTTGACACGCTGGTTGTGACAGTGTGGTTGTGATGGTTGTTATGGTTGTGACACACGGGTTTTGACACGGTGGTTGTGACAGTGTGGTTGTGATGGTTGTTATGGTTGTGACACACGGGTTTTGACACGGTGGTTGTGACAGTGTGGTTGTGATGGTTGTTATGGTTGTGACACACGGGTTTTGACACGGTGGTTGTGACAGTGTGGTTGTGATGGTTGTTATGGTTGTGACACACGGGTTGTGACACGGTGGTTGTGACAGTGTGGTTGTTATGGTTGTGACACACGGGTTTTGAC